CTGCTTCTGCTTCTGCTTCTGTTCTGCTTCTGCTTCTCTTCTGCTTCTGCTTCTGCTTCTGCTTCTGCTTCTGCTTCTGCTTCTGATTCTGCTTCTGCTTCTGCTTCTGCTTCTGCTTCTGCTTCTGCTTCTGCTGCTGCTCTGCTTCTGCTTCTTCTTCTGCTTCTTCTTCTGCTTCTGCTTCTGCTTCTGCTTCTTCTGCTTCTGCTTCTGCTTCTGCTTCTGCTTCTGCTTCTGCTTCTGCTTCTGCTTCTGCTTCTGCTTCTGCTTCTGCTTCTGCTTGGCTTCTGCTCTGCTTCGCTGCTTCTGCTTCTGCTTCTGCTTCTGCTTCTGCTTCTGCTTCTGCTTCTGCTTCTTCTTCTTTTCTTCTGCTTCTGCTTCTGCTTCTGCTTCTGCTTCTGCTTCTGCTTCTGCTTCTGCTTCTGCTTCTGCTTCTGATTCTGCTTCTGCTTCTGCTTCTGCTTCTGCTTCTGCTTCTGCTTCTGCTTCTGCTTCTGCTTCTGCTTCTGCTTCTGCTTCTGCTTCTGCTTTCTGCTTCTGCTTCTGCTTCTGCTTCTGCTTCTGCTTCTGCTTCTGCTTCTGCTTCTGCTTCTGCTTCTGCTTGCTTGCTTCTGCTTCTGCTTCTTCTTCTGCTTCTGCTTCTTTCTGCTTCTGCTTCTGCTTTCTGCTTCTGCTTCTGCTTCTGCTTCTGCTTCTGCTTCTGCTTCTGCTTCTGCTTCTTCTTCTTCTTCTTCTTCTTCTGCTTCTTCTTCGCGTTCACTGACTGCAAACACCGGCGGGAAGTTCTGGTTGTTTGTCCACCTCTGGATTTTAGTCTTGTTCCAGATCCTGAGTGTTGTTTGCACGTCCGATAAACATATCTGACCTAACTGTATGCAGACTGTTGGTTCCTAGCCTCTCAGGCAGATGCACTGGGACTTCGAAGGAAGCTCCCAATTAGTCGATACTTACAACATAAATGTTGGAGAGGCAGTGGATCTGTTCTTGTTTTCCCTAGAATGGGGCCCGGAACTCACATAGGAAAGCAACATTTGAGATAACACAGATTAATAAATATAACAGATATAACAGATACACGGTTAACACAGTGTTTAGAAAAGGCAAATAATGTCAGGAGTAAAACTGGTAAATGCTAATGAACTGGTTGACAGTGAATGAGTTAACAAAACTAATGACGAGCTACAAGACACTTGTAGGATTATTTTAATTTTTATCACACTAGTAAGGATTTCATTTGAAGCTCTTTCTGTAACATATGTGAATGTAGTACTTATCACTAACCTGCCCGCACAGTGAGAGTTCTTAGCCTTCATTCCCCCCCCCCCCCTTCCTCACTCCTATTCATGCACCGGCGGGTCGCTTGACCTGTCCTATGTCGTAAGGGTGTCATGTAATCTGTTGTTTATTTCTACGTTGTGCTACTTGCTCGTCGGTTTGTGGGTATCCAAACAGCCATGTTTTTGTATTTCTGCCTTCCTTTTCAATTGTTTCTTTTTCTGGTGGGAAGCGACCGCCAAGGAAAGTAGAGATACAAAAACATCGCAGTTTGAATACTCACGAACTCCCTCTTTCGCCCTGCAGTACTTCTTACTTGTACACAGGCGCCTGCGGTGCCTTAAACAGACTCACTACAACCCAACCTTCCACAAACATTATTCACAGAGAGCGAACACTGAGCAAAGCTATCTCATAACACCCCCACAACATAAGACAGGCCGTTGACATGCCACGGCATTAATGGGAGAGGAAGGAACTTTCTCCGTGCGGGCAAGTTCGAGAGAAGTTCCGTGAAGGTTTAAGACTTTACACCTTAACAGCAGTATCTACAGTGAGACTTAGATGCCTGTACTTATTTCTATGTCATAATCGAATTCTATACCCATCCACAGTGCCTGTAGGTTTGAGAAAGGCTCACAGAGTAGATGAAACTAAAGGCGAAAGTGCTGATTACTCGGACACCAACACCAGCACCTGCTCCTCTTTCTCAGACATAGGAGGGCCAGAGCAAGCCGCAGCATGCCCAGCGCCATCATCCTTGTCTTTGAAGTAAGTAAGAAACTCTAGCAGTAGAACCCGAGCTATGGATCCGGGCATGTTGGGCCCACCCCATCTCCCGCCCTCAAACGAATTCCTTTTTAGAGGGACTGACCGTCCAGTCGTCACTCCCACCACTCCCCCAAAAAAAGTTGCAAGGGAACTACTTGGTCCCTGTCTGTGCAAGCGTTTGTTAATATCCCTGCGTCCATTTTAGGACGTAATTTTTTGTTATTTGAAGCCCCACTCTGGCTTTTGCCAGGGCCCGCAATATAGGCAGGCCATAAATATGGCCAATTGTCTGAACGCGGTTTCTAGGACCTCTCCACGGTGATCCTCATCCCACATGGTGGCACTTTGTGTCATCGGGTGTTTGTCGCTTGTGTGATGTCCTGGTGGGGTAGAAAGTAAGTCAGTCAAGCGTTTGTTTATGACTTCCACAACTACTGGATGTAAAGGTGCCAAGACAAGCCACAACAGCCAATCAGGGGTTTTTCTTGCACAGTCTTGTAATGGTTACGGAACTTACTTGTACAGTTCATGGTATCTCAGTTACACTATTGTAGATTTTTTTTTTCGCCATTAGCACATAATAATAAAAGTTTATTTCAAAAAATATATACTTGCTTTTTTTGTACACTTCAACAAGTGGTAAACGGCCAGTCGATATAGTATTTGTGTTTGTCTGCTTTAATCTCATCAACTCTGCAGGAGTGTTTTTTTTTAAAGGTCTTTTGGTGGCGTGGAGTTCCAGGCCATTTTATATAGCGCACATAACCTAGTCGCGGCGTCCATGGCTAAGGCGTTGCGAGTCCGACTCGTGAGTCAGCATACCGCGATCGAAACCCACTGCAGGCTGCGTGGATTTTTGTCGTGGTATGGGACGTCGCAGGTCGACCCAGCCTAAAATGGGTACCAGGATGGGCTGTCCTGGGAAAGTAAAGACAGCCGGCGTAATGCTGACCACATTACCCACACAGTGCTGATGGTCTGTAAAAAAAATATGGGACGCTCTGCCCATATGCCCGATGCGCCGAAAGGTGTGAAAAGGGAAGTTTACTTTCCTTTTTTACTTTTTTTTTTTACATAACCTAGTCACAATTATAACCTGAAGCTACCCTTTCAGGAATGCTGGATGAACGTGGTTTATTTTCTACTTTTTCCAGCAAAGCAAAGCTTTCAGGCTTATTAAACACAAAGAGCTAAACGTATATTTTATTGACCCATAGGCACTCGGTGGGTGACACTTCCAAGACCACGCCGGCCACTTTTACTTCCAAGCACTTTACAGCGTACCTGTTGAAGGCTGGGTCGACCTAGAAGTCATTTTTAGAGGGGTGGGGGGGGTGACGCTCAACACTCAAGGAAAAGGCGAAACAGATATACTGTTAATGGTGCCGTCATGATTAGAACTGTGTTTGCTACTAAAGATGGGGACAGAGCATTTATGGAATTTTTCTGAGTGCTGTAATGTTGATTCTCGATTCAACATTTAATATTCAGTGGCAGACCCGGATTTCAATCCTCAATAAGGTGACACGCTCGTACTGGGGAGGGGAGGGGGGGGGGGGACACATCCTAACCCGCAGAGTTATGCTCAACACTACCCCTTCCCCCCCCCCCAATCTCTTCTCCTACGTCCCCCCCCCCCACCTTTCCCAATTCTGTCCTAACCCCCCCCCCCCCCCCCGCGGCTAGCCCTTCCCTGACAGCCTTCGTACTACACCCCCTACAAACTAATGTTGTACGCTGTTAGAACAGTTGTTTTCTTTACTCTTATGTTTTATAACCTAACATATCCATGATTCCATAACGTGATCTCATCCTTCAGAATTCGACGTCAGGATGCCGTGAGCCTTGGCAGTAGCTGCATGAGTCCAGTTACAGGCAAAGATGCGAGGTTTGGTGACAAGGGTGTTAAGAACACCAGCCCAGTGGCAGCTAAAGATACGAGATTTGGTGACAAAAGTAGTAGGAGTATGAGTCCAGTGGCAGCCAACGATACGAGATTTGGTGACAAGAGCAAAAGAAGTATGAGTCCAGTGGCGGCCAAAGATGCGAGATTTGGTGATAAGAGCAGTAGGAACACGAGTCCAGTGAGAGCCAAAGATACGAGATTTGGTGACAAGATCATGAGAAGTATGCCAGCATCAAGCTCACTAGACAAAGCAGTTAGATCATCTTTAGCTATGAATCAACAAGTTAAGGTTCGTGAAGAATATGTTGGTAACTCTTAACATTCGTTTGATGTCTTATGTTTTCTGTATGCTGTCTGTTTTCCCGTTAGCTTTAGAGAGAGAGAAAGAAAGAGAGAGAGAGAGAGAGAGAGAGAGAGAGAGAGAGAGAGAGAGAGAGAAGAGAGAGAGAGAGAGAGATACAGAGATATATATATAGAGATAGAGAGAAGATGTACTATAACAATACCCATAGTATATAAGAATTAGGCCTGCGTGGATTTGTATCATGGTATGGGGCGTCGCAGGTCGACCCAGCCTTAAATAGGTACCAGGATGTATGTCCCGGGAAAGTAAAGACGGCCGGCGTAATGCTGACCACATACCCACCTAGGGCCTATTGGTCTGTAAAAATATGAGGCTCTTCCTATATGCCTGATGCGCCTAAGACGTAAATATAAATCTTTACTTTTACTTTACTTATAAGACTTAGGCGAGAACCAAATGCTGGCAGGGAAGGTTTATATAAGCCACATTATCTCTTCTCATGCGGCGTTGGTGGCTTAGTCGTTGCGAGTCCGACTCGTAATCCAACGTACCGCGATCGAAACCCTTTGCCGGCTGCGTGGATTTTTATCATGGTATGGGGCGTCGCAGGTCCACCCAGCCTAAAATGGGTACCAGAATGGAAGTAAAAACGTCCGGCGTAATGCTGACCATATATTACCCATCCAGTGCCGATTGGTCTGTAAAATTATGGGACGCTAATCTCATATACCCGATGCGCCTAGGGCGTGAAAATGGATCTTTACTTTTTATTTATTTATTATTTTTTTTTTTGGGGGGGGCGGGGGGGGGGGGTTATGGGATTTGGGCAAGATATTTCCTTGTTTATGATCCACACAGAGGGAGATGGCAGCCTAACATAAACAGATGATTTGGTTTTCAATACAGAAGATTCCCAGTGTGTGTGTTCCATGTCCCCTTGTGGAAAAACAAGAATAGACCCATTGACTCCCCAACAAGCATTCGTAAGAATCGACTAATTTGGGGCTTTCTTCGAAATCGGAGTGCATCTGCCTAAGAAGCAAGGAACTAACAATCTGCATACGGTTGTTGTTGTCGCTTTTATTGATCCAGTGGCGCATGAGCTTTCGCCCTTTGGCCCAGTGCCCTGTAGTGGAATTTACAAGTTTTCACAAGCTTTTCTTTTCCTCCGTACAAGGTGTTCCACTTGTCTGGTCTCGGAGGGAGTAGCATTCTTCTTGTCTCACTGAGTTTTGAGCACTCAGAGAGATTATTATGTTCAACAGTTTCGTATGGTCCGCCTCTTCTTCATTCCCTCCTGGTCTGTACATCATTCTTTGCTGTTGTATACTCTCTGCTGACATCCGCGATTTATGGCCAAACCATTTCACCTGTTCATACCTATGGTGCCGTTTTAATGATTTGAGATGAATTATGTCCGTATTCCATAGTAGTGGATTTCAAGCTGTACGATAGACATGGCCAATAAGACACCTTTTTGGGGTTGCCTAGTTGACCATGTTCTTAGTACACTTGTTTCCATAGCGAGGTGACAGGTTCGATTCTTGGTACGGTAACTATAGCTTGCGAGTTTTATGTTGTTTAGTGTGTTCATCTATCTTTCCACTTCTTTCTATGAGTGCCGATCAATACATTTTTGTTACTTTATTAATATATAATATTTAATGGCTTCAAGGGTTCCGCCTCTGTTTATTTATTTTATATATGTTACAGCCTTAAAATTTTCTTTTTATGTCGTTTTCTTTCCCATTTCGCTTGATATGTAACTGGAGCGCTGCTCGCTGCATTAAACATCAGTATCATCGTTATGGTAATCATATTATTCACTTTAATTGCATTGCAACGTCTTCAGACACGACTGACGAAAAGTTTAGATATGCAGACGTCCAAAGATTCCAGTGAAATCTTGGACAAATGGCGCCAGACTGGCTTTCCAGATGTCTACGTCATCACACTAACGTCTAGGCCTAGAGGTATGTATGCTTACATACATCTCTTCAGAAAAACACAAGCTAGACGCTCGTTAAAAATAAAAAAGGGACCATTTCACGACTTTAGAGCTGGTGTATATAACACCAGCTCATTATTTGTATCGGTATTTTTTTTTTTAACAACACTGAAACAGTCAGGTTGTGGCCTCCGTGAATAATAGTTTTATTTATTGAGGAAGAGGACCTTTTGCCACGCTTTCAGCGGTAGTGGGCTTATAGGGCTAGACCTATATTTAATAAACCACCTTTTTTTTACCAATCGGCTCTTGGAGTGTGATGTGGTAAGCAAACGCGGATCGCCTTTACTTCTTAGGATTTCAGAAAATTTGAAAATCAGTGTCCAAAGTTCACTCTGATGGTTGACGGCTGCTTTTTGTTGATATCTGTTATTACATCGAAGCCGTCCCCTCATGGAATGCAATTTAGGGCCGGGGGCTCTAAATATAGTCGGGCCTGAAATATGGTCAAACGGTTGAACTGGGTTTCAGGGACCTCTCCACGGGTGATCCTCATCCGCATGGTGGCACTTTGTGTCACCGTGGGCTTATCGCTTGTGTGATGTCCTGGTGGGGTACATCTTACATACTGACATACATACAGATATCTGCTTTTCTTTGTCTGAGGTTGGAGAAGCTCCACACCAAACTGGCAACGCTGTTTTGTTTTCATGGCTGTTAAAGCTAACAATTCGGATCGTTACAAGTTTAAATGCACTCAATTTAAAATCCGTGGACCCTCCCCCCCCCCCCTCTTCCCGCCTTTTTCCCCCTTTACTCATCCCCTTTTAAAAATTGATTCCTTTTTATGTGGATAGCATTTTCTCTTGTTAAGGTAATTTCTTTGAATAAATCTGCATTGCGGTTTTTTATTTTTATTTTAATTATCGACGTTGTCTTCACTGCTCTATACGCCACACTCTCCAGTGTGCACTAATATTTTCTTAATTATCTACTCACTGTTTCTGATTCCCTTCCATTAATTAGAATTGACTCTATACAATTCTGAATAGCTCTTTGCCCTAACCTCAGCTGAAAATGATAAATTGCATAGAACACATTTCAGAACTAAACGTTGATTCACTTGACCTCAAGAGATGCAGTCATCCATTTGTTAGTGTATCCATGAGAAAACACACAGAATAGTACTAATAAAACATACTATGCATGTCGTAATAGACAGCTAAGGCAGACACTGACAAACTTTAGCTGCAAAATTCAAGCCATAGTTTACATGTCTACAGGATGCATTTGTGAATTTACAGAGGATTTGAACCCTATTGGGAAATATAAATGTAAGAAAAAATTGTCACCAATCAGTAGATCCTTTACAGAACCTCACTCTCTTCATGGCACGTCTAAAAGTCTTTTTTGTTCTCCAACCCTATGTGTTTTCAATGTAAATGCATATTCAATGTCTTGTATCCACCTACGCTCTCCATCACTGCTATCTCAAGGTTACCATGGAGCTAAAGACGCCTGAAATACAACAGCCTTCGCGACAGGATACTGTTTATGAGCCAATTCTCCTTGATGGTCAGGTTATGTAGGATGTTAGTGTTTTTGTTATTCTTGGTACACATAAGGAGAAAAAGGAATTAAAAATCCTTACATCTGAACAGATTACAATGGCTGTCATGTGATTCTGTTCCGTTTTGCCTTGTTCACAGATTGTCCCTTTGGCGTCAAAGTAACCGGTGGAGTTGAAGACGCAGCTAAAGTCTCGAAAGCGTTTGTGTCCTGGGTGTCGTCTCAAGCGACAGCCAACATCCGTGTCGGTAAGGGGTTCGTACTTCACGTTTCCTGTGTGGGTTTCGTGGCCCTCTTGCTCGGAAAGGGGCGTAAAAGACATATTGCCTTCTACAGACATGTCTTCTTCTCCATCTTCAGCATTCCGTGCATTTGAAGTTCAATCCTGCACATCACCAGCCTCCATTCATCTCTCTGTCAGACCTTCTCTTACCAGCTGGTGGCACCAAGTGTTTGTGTGTGTCTTTTCTGATATTATCTCTCCCTTGTCTTTTCGGTCTGCCTCGTAGTCTACGACCATTAAGAACCTTTGTGTTTACAGTTTCCTCTCTGTCTTCTGACATCCTTTCACTAAGCGCCAGCCATTTTAATTTATTAGCCCTCATGATGCCAGTGATCAATGGGGATTTGAACAGATTATGAATTTTTAAATGCATGTCGTAAAAAATTAAAACCACTAATTGAGGGGGGGGGGGGGGAAGGTTGCTGAAATCTGTTGTGTTGACCCGAAAGGGGCAGATATCACAGCTTAACTGTTAACCACAACACATAGTATCAACAACCAATTTAAAAAGGATGAGGAGGAGGATGATAAGAGGAAGAAGAAGAAGAAGAAGAAGAAGAAGAAGAAGAAGAAGAAGAAGAAGAAGAAGAAGAAGAAGAAGAAGAAGAAGAAGAAGAAGAAGAAGAAAAAAGGAGATGAAGAATGAAATGAAAAAGAAGGGGAAGAAAAAGAAAAAGGGAAAGATGATTCTTTGCGTTTTTGTGTGTGGGGGGGTGGAAGGGGTGGGGGGAGAGGGGTGGAAGGGGTGGGGGTACTCAGAGTAGAACAGTTACGTAGCGGTGACAAGAGCAACGACGTGGATCCATTATATTGCTGATCGTGTGGGGTAGCGAAACATGACCGTCTTTGCTTATCGGCATGGCTCTGATAATGATAATGATACGAAGGCTGCTTCAGATTATTATGATGGCGATGATGATGATGATGCTGAGGAGGAGGAAGAAGAGGTTGCTGCCATTACTGCTGTGGTAATGATGACATTGTGAAGAGTAAGGGGAAGCAACCGCTGCTGATAATAATGTTGTGAGACGGTAATGTAAAGATGGAGGGAAACTGAGATATCAAATTACGAATACAAAAGACAAGAGGTGCTTTCATAGCACTAGTTCATTTGTGGTGGTCAAAAGAAATTTGAAGTATTACTAAACTTAAAATGTATAATTCTAATGTCAAATCAGTACTGCCGCAATAAAACTGAAACCGAAACAAGAACAACAAAAACAATTACTAATAAAACTACAAACATTCATTAACTATTGCGGGCGCAGAATGGAGGGATTTGAACGGTTTGAAAGAAATAACTAATGTTGAGCTTAACCCTTCTCCTTTGTCATCCGGATGTAGGACCGGCAGTGGCAATGATATTGTTCTGCAAAGCAAATTAACACAGGAATGAAATGGGAAACAAACTGGTGTTTTAGAAAATGTAGCGTCAAAGGTTAAAATTAAAAAAAAAAAAAACACCTTAAGACAAACAGAAGAATTTAAGTACTTAGAGCAATTTTCACATCTGACATAAAAGTTAGCTCGAGATGTGCCAAAGCTAATCAAGTAATGTGGCAACTATCTCCCCTGTTGACACACAAGCAGATACCTCGGAGTACTAAAGTGAATCTTATCAGAACTATTTTTTGGCCAACACTTTGATATCAGTGCCAAACGTGGACATTTACATCCTCCAATGAACATACAATTGTGACAACAGAGATGAAATGCCTTAGAAGAGCTGCAGGAGTTTCAAGGAAAGACAGAATACGAAATCATGAAATCAGAAGAATGCTAGGAATAAAGCCAGTCTTACAGGTCATCAAAGAAACAACAAATAAAGTGGTTTGGACACCTAACAAGAATGCCCCGGTACTATCTGCCACAGTGAGCCACACTAAAACGTTACAATGGGTATAGAGCGAGTGGAAGACCTCGGAAAATATGGAGTGATGACATTAAGAACAGCCTTACAGAAATGAACAAAAGTCTCAATAGTGCTCTTGACAGAGCTCATCAACGAATGTTACATCTCCCCCCGACACTTCGATGAGGTACAAGGTAGAAAAAAAGAAAGAGAAGAAGAAAGGTAGAAGAAAAAGCATTAAAGGTTGGACTTCCGATGAGTTACAAAATGACATATATATTGAAGACACAATTGTTAGATAAAATAGAGGCATTGGTAAATGTTCATTTAAAGATCGTCTCCATCACACATCGGACACAACCATAAGTGCTCCGATCTACTCCTGAGTATGTCTCCAAATGTCTTTAGGCTAACCCCCATTCCTTTCTGTTTGATATAAAGACTGGCTCCCGCATGACTTTTTTGTTTCCAATTGGGACATCACGATACTAAAGACAAAACGAATTAAGAGTAACATAGCATCATCATCAAGGGCCTAGCCAGCTGACGCAAGCAGTCATGCTTCTCCGCAGATCTCATTTTTTGTTTGTATACTGGATCAATTCCACTGATGATTTTCCTCCATGCCACTGTCTTATAAAACATCCACCATCATTTCTCTTGGTCGGAGTAACGTATAAATTACCTTATTTAGATAGTAATTCTAGTTAGAGCACCCCGAGTAGTTTGCCTTTGCCCTTACTGGTCACCTCTCTATTTCATTGTCGAAATCAACGCAAAGCGGTATGTTGTCAAATAACACGCAGCTAGAATCAATAGGGGCATTTCGCCGACCAAGTGAAGTAGACAAATAGTAAATATATCAAGAAGAGAAATCAACCGAACGAAAAATAGAACCAGTCAGTTTCACGTTATCACAAATATTAGGTCGACAAGTACATGTTGGGCTAGAGAGCTTTCATCAGCGTATTATATAAAAATAAAATACCACAAACACTTACAAGAATAGACAACATCACTAATCTGAAGCATCTCTGAGAGAAATCACACAAATAACCAGTTGAATCTCTGACACGTGTGTGACCATTATGGGCGAGGAAAACGGTAAATCCCACTCTGCTGGATTTCCCCAGGTCAAGAAGTTCTGGCGTGGAATGAGAAGACTCTGAGAGGGCAAAGTTATGACACAGTGCTTTCCTTGACTTCTCAAGTGTGCTCCCGAGCCATTCTTATTGTCAACCCTTTGGATAAAAGGTAAGTGTATTATCTGTGGGTATAGATCTTGTAAACGGCGTTTGTAATCCCGAGATACCTGGTTCGAGTCCAGCGGCACGCGATTTGGGAGCAGACAGCTTTACTTTGAATTCGAAAGTGGTATCGAGAGGTGACCGCTGAGGAAGCAGTGGCAAACTACTGAACGTAAAATTGCCAAGTAAAATCACAGACCGCCAGTAAATGCTGGGGTTCGTTCTGCAACGTCTTGTACAGGAGTGCAACTAACTGAAGTATTATAAACAAGGGGAAAAGCATGCCGAATGGTTACACTGATAGTCTCTCGAGCAGGAGATCCAGGTTCGAATCCTCGGCTCCCAGTATGGACTTCCGTTACCCCAATATTTGAGGGGGGTGGGTGGGTGGGTGGGGGGGGGGGTGAGTGTAGAAATAGGTACACTCTTCCTCTAATAAGTCGTAGATAAGGGGGGTTTCCTTCGAAATGGAAGTGCTTCTGCATAAGAGGCAAGAAACCAACAGATTGCATAACTGTATACAAATAGGCACAATCTGTGAAAGGGATGTGAATGCAAATAGATACGCTCTTACTCTAATAAGTCGTAGATAAGGGGTGTTTCCTTCGAAATCCAAGTGCTTCTGCATGAGAGGCAAGGAATCAACAGATTGCATAACTGTATACAAACAGGCACAATCTGTGAATTGGATATGCATGCGAACCTCCCGTTCTTGGACGAGACTGAAGACTAAAATTGGACGAACAACCTGAACTTTCTGGCTGAGCTTACAGCCGGTTACGCTAATGAGGGCCATTAAATAAAAATCCACAGTATTAGCCATGTGGCCCTATATGCTCAGGTTCAAACTAGGGCTGTACCGAATAGTGATTTTCACTATTCGGCCGAATACGAATAGCTGGACCAAGTATTCGGGCGAATACGAATACGAATAGTGAATCATCATCATCACGTGCTTTGCCGGCTGGCATGGGCGATTATGCCTCGCCACATTCTGCGATCTCCTGCAGCACGTATTAGTTCGTGTGCTGACACACCTCCATGAAAAACCTTCGTTACATGTTGTCAGCATTAGGCCAGCTTTTTGTCTCACTGAAGATATTTCCAGCTGTACTAAACAGGAAAATACGACAAATACAGAGAGTCAAAATGAAAACCCGCAAGGCGAAACATCAAAAACAAAAATAACGCTGACGAAGAAAACAATGCCGTCCTTACAAGTCGCCCAGCCCCCGCGAGCTCACAAAACCAGATGCCGGGCGGCCAACGCCAGAAGATCAAACAACAAAGACAATCAAGAAACCGAACGTCGATCAAAACATTCAGCCGCTGCCGTTTCCAAGAGACGACGAAAGAACAGATACGACACCCATAAATGATGACGAACTCCCGTTCTTCAAAGAATCAACCAAGAGGACACTCCACTCAAAGAAATCAAGCCGACAACACTAGAACACTTGCTTTTCTGCCCCTCCTACATTTGTAAGTATTGCATTTTGTTTCTACAGCAACACACCTAAAAACACTATACTCGCAACACATGCGAGATGGAAATAAAGGGGCACTTGGTACGCTCGTAGGTGGTGCACAAAGATAACGCTTAACAGTATAAACCAAGGTGGGAAGTCTTGATGTTTTTTTCTCCACCAGTCCAGAAACGGTTGTGAGGTAACCACTATTCGTATTCGGCCCGACCGCAACTATTCGGCCGAATACCGAATAGTTATTGGGTCCACTATTCGGCCCCGAAGCGAATACGAAGCGAATATTCGGTACAGCCCTAGTTCAAACCCCACTATACTACACAAGCCTTGAAAAAATAGTAAACACAACTGGTAACTACATTTAAAAAACACACACATACACACCACTCACACACACACACACACAAACACACACTCACCAAGAAAACTACACAGCTCATTTTATATGGAGCCTTATAATGTCTGAGCTATCGAGGTAATGAAGTATCTTCTACTTTAGACAATTCTGTCGTTTATTAATATTTGTTTCGTTTCTTCACAAAATTAATTGAACACCGTAATGCATTTTTTTATGTTGTTCCTTTTATTATATGTTCTTGTAATGTTGCTGTTAGTGTTTCTAATTTTAACTGTTTACATTTCAGTGAAGGACGTCAAGCTTCGTGTGAGGTAGCCCCTGTAGTCTCTCAAGGTATGTGAGATCGCTTGTATTGTCAAGTAAAAAGGTTATCGATCAATCGATTAGGCTCTAATTAACCTAGGGAACTCAGCACCCAACAGAGATTTATCTTTTTCTTGTTCATTGTTTATTTTGGTACGTCGTTGCCACTCACCTGGCCAGCATTTATTTATGTGGTCGTCACACACGTGTCCAATATTCAACTGGTCAAACATTTATGTGATTTCTTTTGGAGAAACATCGGCTAAGTCATTTTATGTATTCGATTTGTGGTATCGTATATTCATGTAATGTGTTGATGTAGACTCTCTAGTCGCAACGTTCGCTAGTCATTTGGGTGTGTGATAATAGAAAGATGACTGATTATACATTTCATTTGGTGTGACATCGATTCATTCGATCATTCAGAGGCTGTATCCATTTACAACCAGACTTTAATAGCTGTTCACATCGCTCGATAAGTCCCCTTGATCGTATAATTTAGATCACTGTTCGTCCATCCCCTTAATTTGTCTTTGATCATTTAGAGAAGAAGAAAAGAAAGAGAAGAAGAAGAAGAAGAAGAAGAAGAAGAAGAAGAAGAAGAAGAAGAAGAAGAAGAAGAAGAAGAATGATGCTGATGAGAAGAAGGAGGTGTAGATAAAGAAGAGAAACTAAAAAATCATTTTTGCATAGCACGTGATATAATCAAGAGTTGGTATTCTTTCAAGCTTTTTTTTTTTACATATTACAGATCAGAAAACGACCCAAAGTCCAGACTTACATCGAAAAGGTCCGAAAATGAGGGTCCTACCAAAGACTCCAGTAAGTTCGAATAAAACACATGGTTTTTTAGATTCTTTTGTAAACCCCTGTGAAAAAATTGCCCACTTCCCCACCTACGGTTTTATTTGGGTCAGAAAAAAAGGCAATCGAAATCGATGGGAAGGATCTAGGGGTGCCCTTAAAGAGGGGGGCGTCGCAAAAACAATTTAAATATATGACCGATTTTTTTTAGGAGAGGAATAATCTTATAAGAAAGCCATCACTCCTAAACTCAGTAATGCCAAAACTGCTGAAGTGACAAGATCAGTGTTTATCAAACTTTTCTTAGTCGGGGCATCTTTTTTAAAATTTAAATTTGTCCACGGCACCCTAACCTAAGTAAAAGTATGACTATTCGTATGTAAGAGATTAAAAAAATTAAAAGAAAACTCGTGTATCCCGGTGTCCCTGTGAAAGGTCAGGCTCCTGGGGGCCCCGGCGAATTTGGGAACACTGGGCTTATATTTTTTCCAAGGTTTTGTCCCAGAAAATTTATTTTACAAGAAAACCCAATTTTTGTTGTGGGAATAGGATGGNAAAGGAAAAAGAAAAAAAAAAGAAGAAAAAAAGAAGAAGAAAAGGAAAAAAGAAGAAAAGAGAAAAGAAAAAAGAAGAAGAAAAAAGAAAAAAGAAAAGAAAAAGAAGAAAAAAGAAGAAAAAAAGAAAAGAAGAAAAGAAGAAGAGAAAAGAAAGAAGAAAAAAAAGAAGAAAAGAAGAAAAAAAAAAGAAGAAAAGAAGAAAAAGAAGAAGGAAAAAAAAAGGAAAGAAAAACTGCATGGGGAGGGGGTGTAAAAGAAAAAAGTAAAAAAAAAATCATTTATGTTACACTGAACATCAAAATTTTCTAATTTTTCAAGCATTTTTTTTTCACATACCCCAAGTCGTATCTTTTCGTATATTTCCCGGCTCCCCTGTGAAGAGGTCGCGGCTCCCTTGCGCGCCGCGGTGCACAGTTGGGGAATCTCTGTGCTAGATTATATTTTATTCAATTGTTTTGTCCCAGGATAATATTATATTCATCAGTTCTCGTTATGCCTAGTGGCACATGAGGCTTAAGAAAGGACTTTCCATGCTTTCCTGTCCTGTGCAATCTTCAGTGCAGTTTTCCATGTCAGAGATGCCACACTCAGGTCACTTTCCATCGTTCGTCTCTATGTTGTTTTGGGGCGCCCCTGTTTTCTCTTTCCCTCTGGTGTCCATGTGAGAGCTGTTTTGGCAGGTATATCAGAAGTCATTCTCATAACATGGCCAAGCCATTTCCATCTTCTCTTGGTAATCATACTGTCTAAAGTTTTTTGGTTTGTGGCTTGAAGTAGTTTAGTGTTTGAGATTGTATCTGGCCAGAAAATTTTGATAATTCTACGTAGACATGTGTGGTGGAAGGTGGACAGCTTGTGTGCATCCTTTTTGGTAATTCTCCAGCATTCTGCTCCATAAAGAAGAACTGGCAAAATATTATATTAGCAGACAACAATTCCTGTTGTGGGAACTAGATGGTTGATGGAACCCACTGCATTCGAAAATATAGACAGCTGGGGAAATATCTAGTTAAAGATCAACCCACAATTTATATAGTTCCCAAACTGTGTTTCACAGTAAAGATTAGGAATTACTCTACTCTTTTAGAACCACCCTACATACTTACGGTTAAAGTCATAAGAATAAAGGTAAAATTTCAACGTGTATTGATCATACTGAAACAAAATATAAGAATCATGAACTATAATCAGGACTGTGATCCTCAGTGGTCTAGCGGCTAGACGCTCGGCTGCGCATCGAAAGGTCGTGTGTTCGGTTCCTGATGAGGACCAAATACTGTTTTTTTTTCTTTCAAAAATGATCTTAGCTCCCAGGTCGACCCAGTCTTGAGTGGGTACCAGGTGCAATCCGGGAAGTAAAGGCGGCTGGCATGATACTGACCACATCACCCACCAAGTGCCCTTTGGTCTATAAGATATAGGTCTGGCCCTATATACCCAATACTCATGAAAGGCATGGAAAAGCGTCCTTTACTTTCATAATCAGGGGGAAAAATCTCATGCAGAGCCAGGGCACTATGGTTCACAAGTCTATGGGACAGAGAAAACATTCCATTTAGAGCATGAGAAAAGTTGCTCCTATAATTATAACATTATACAGAGAAATAGAAACCAGATGTCAGAAAGCAAGTATACTCATATACCAGCTGTCACCATTATTAAGACATCCAAGCATAACTGCGGATCGGAAGGCCGTGGGTTCGCTTCCTGACGGAGCCAGAATATTTTTTTTTCGGAAACGACTTTGACTCCTAGGTCAACCCAGCCTTGAGTGTGTACCAAGTGCAGTCCTGGGAAGTAAAGGTGACCGGCGTGATGCTGTCCACATCACCCACCGAGTACCGGTTGGTCTTTAAATATATAGGTCTAGTCCTATATTCTCAGTACGCCTTCTTCTTCTTCTGCCTTTCTATCCCCCAATGGAGCATAGGCCCTCAACCAACTCACGCCAAGTCGTTCTATCCTTCGCCATTGCATGGAGCTCTCCTCATGTCCTCCCAATCTTTCTAACCTCATTCTCCAGCTCTCTTCTCCATGTGTTTTTTGGCCTTCCTTTATTCATATGCCCCTGTGGGTTCCAATGCAAAGACATTCTAGTTATGCTGTTCTCCTGTTTTTCTCAGTGTGTGCCCTATCCAACACCAGCGTCTTTTCCTCACCTCCTGATCCACTGGAGCGTGTTTAGTTCTCTCCCAAAGTTCTACATTAGTTATTCTATCATACCATTTTATTCCCTCTATTCTGCGCAGGCACCAGTTAATGAATGTCTGTAATTTATTAGTAATTGCCTTGGTTGTTCTCCATGTTTCCGCCCCATACAATAGTACTGATTTGACATTAAAATTAAAAATTTTTAGTTTAGTATTTCTTTTAATTTCTTTTGACCTCCACAAGTTCCCTAGTGCTATGAAAGCCCCTCTTGCCTTTTGTATTCTAATTTTAATATTTCTATCAGTTCCTCCATCTTTATCTACATTACTGCCTAAATAGGTGTACGTCTCCACGTCTTGGAGTGGGGTGCCATTAAGAGAAACCACATTACTATTTGCCTGATTTATTCTCATTATCTTTGTCTTTCCTTTATGGATTTTCAGACCAAGCTGCTGTGATCTCGCATTAAGTATATTTAATTCAGTACGCCTAAAGGCGTGGGTCAGGGTCTTCTACTTACTTACCGGGTCTCTTGCAGAAAAACCCATCGTTCTTAACTGTTTGGGACGACGCTAATACACAAACTGATACATACTGTTGAGAATCGTAAGATGTGGAGACCTTTTGTCCGGGTTTCCTGCATGCAAAAGCTTTGTATGGCCGCGTCCGTAGCTTATGCGTTGCGAGTCCGAAACCCACTGCTGGCTGTGTGGATTTTCATCATGGTATCGGTTATGTCCTAGGAAAGTAAAGACGGCCAGCATAGTGCTGACCACATTACCCACCCAGTGCCGATTGGTCTGTAAAAATATGGGCACTCTTCCCATATGCCCGATGCGCCCAAGGCGTAAAAAGGGGTCTTTACTTTACTAATAAAGTAAAATTAAGATTTAAAATTTTTTCAGATATAACCATTTTAGTTTTCTTCTAATTTTCTTCAGGTTGAATTTGACAGTTGCCATATAAAAGGAGAAATTCAGATGAAATTGACCTACAAGCCAGAGAAAACATCCCTGTCAGTAACAGTTCTTAAAGCCAGACATATGGTGCCTGCAAACGCAGCTGACGCCGGGACCTCGACAACATTCATAGTTGTTCAGCTGGTGCCTTGGAATCGGTAATTATTTGCCCGTTCTTAAACGACAAGCTCTGGGTCAGGTCTTGGTCAGATATCACTGAGCTACCATTTAACAGTATCCGGTACCGCCTGTATTCTGTTATCGGCAAATGTTGGGCGGCGTATACCAAACCTGACATCCATATTGTGCCAACGGCTTCGGGCGGAGGAGCGCATTGGGGAGGATACTAGCCTTATCCTAGTAAAAACAAATGCGACCTGAAAACGATATGTTATGGCCGGGCAGACCAGGCCCTTAGCCTTGGCTGGCAATTGGTCTAGGAGGGAAGCTCCGACAGCCGGATAGATAGAGTACTACTCCTAAGTGGTCATACAATTTTATTTACTGTCTTTTATTAAATTTATAATCCGTTCTGTGCCGACTTTTTTCTTATGACTTTAATCCTAATTTTATCTTTTCTCTTCACTCATGTAGCCCTTCTCAAATATCTAATTTCTATAGTAACTTTCTTTTCTGTTTAGTTGTGAGTGACCATGCCCAGCACTGGTAGCACAGGATTGGAATCAATATGCTTTGGATCTTCTTCTGTGCGTACGGTTTCGTATGCTCAGATCAGACCATCAGGTGGGTTGCCTCTATGAACTCGCATTTCAGCAGCAGGTCGGTCCTTCATGGTTCCCCATAGCTTGCTTTGCCCACTTTGCTCTTGAGGCCAGGTTTCTTTTCGAAGTTGTATGTAAAGTGTGCATGTCTGCAGAATGTGCTCACGTGTTTGTGGTCCTGTTTGACAGGCACACTGTGGGGACTGTACAATCCTAATTTTATGTGTGTGGTAGTTAGGTCTGCAGTTTCCTGTTCGTAGATGGAAAATTGTTTTATGTTGCTTTCTGTTGAGTCTGCTGATGTCTGTGGATGTTTACTGTTAGTTTGTTTTCTCCACAATTCCTTGCATTTTCCCTTGAAAAGTGTTCGGATTTCTGGTAATGAAAATATATAATATGCTTTGTATGTTTCTCTGTGATGATTGGGGTTGTCTTGTGTTGTAGAAGGAGGGCTATGTGCACCAAATCTTGGTTTGATTTACTGCATCAGATGTTAATTACCTCATCTTCGGTGAATGCTGTTTCCAGATATTTCAACTCAGATGCCTGTTTAATCCCGTTTCACCATGGTACTATATTTCGGTTCTGTTTCTTTCTTATTTTTGATATCACTTGTCTTCTCAACGTGGATTCTCTAGACGTCAGCAAATTTTAAATGCTGTAAAAATACTTTTGGCTGCACCGTTTCTCTTATATATATATATATATATATATATATATATATATATATATATATATATATATATATATATATATATATATATATATATATATATATATATATATATATAAGAGTACCTTGGAGTGGCTGCTGCATCGGAGGACTGAGAAGTCCTGAGAATGCTCAAAGTGCAATGAATGGATTGTGATAACATAACTTGTTCTTCTTTCTAGAGATTTGTGTGGGCTTGCATTTATGTATTTTCTGACAGCAGTGTTAAAAGATATCCAGTGAGAAACGACGTGATCACAAGAACTGTTGGAATAACACCCATCGTCAAATTTATTGAGAGACAAAAAATGAAATGGTTTCGGCTGTGAATTCCGGCAGAAGGTCACGGTTAATCGTCCGCTTGGACTTTTGGCTTTCACCCGGACCTGATTTTTGCGTGTACAACCGTTTTAATGTTCCCTGCCTCATGGGCAGCTGTACTCCGACTTCGAAGGAAGACGTCAGGCCTATTTCTAGGTTGACTGTGGCCATTGTTTTGTTTGGGTCAAGACGTTGCCTGATTTGTGTGGAGTCCACTTTGTCTCCTTCTCCACGGGTAATGCCCCCGAAATACCCCTTTGGGGCAGCCCCCTGTGGAACAGTTAGCCCTCAAGGGAAGGCAGGGGCAGATCATGGGCATTTCGCCATTCAAGGAGGTTTCCATGTTTGCAGAGCCGACAAGAGCTGCGCCCTCTGGAAGTCAGCGGGTAGCAGCCCGTGGTTTTTGGACTTTTGTGACCACACGAATAGGTACATTCTTTTCCCTTCGCACGTTAGATTTCTTTGACGAGCCGTTAGCCCGACAGAATTTTACATCCTGCGTCAGGCATAGCGTTATCAGTTTGGTCCCAACACTTGGGCGAGTGGGGTCTTTGGTCTTTTTCCGTTCAGTACAAATTGTGGAGGTCAGATTTTGAGCTCACTCGTGTGCCGTAGGATCTAGTTTTGTCGGACATTTAGGCTTAGCCAGCCAATGGGCTGTTGCTGTTGTGGTGTACCTCAGCGCGGTGACGACGACACTGTGGGTTACACGAGGATGTACATGGCTGGCCCGCCTATGTATGGTTGCTGTTTTTGTTTACCTCAGCGCGGTGACGACGACACTAAGGGTTAACCGAGGATGTACATGGACGGTCATTCTCTGGATGGTTGCTGTTGTGGTGTACCTCAGCGCGGTGACGACGACACTGAGGGTTAACAGAGGATGTACAGTGAACAATGTTCTCTTCACTCCCAATTCTTTTAACCAAGGGTTGTGATTTTTAGCTGTACGTTTGGCAAGCATACTCGTGTTCCTAATGAGTTTTGATAACCTTTTTCACCCAAGCGTTTGGGGGCGGGCTGATGTGAGCCACAAGGACACATCACCTCTGGGGGCCGCCAAGCTCCGAGATCCCCTGACAGCTCTGTTAATACTCATTTGAGACATTATCCGTGGCGCACGACGAGGACGTGCTGCAGGGGTCTTGCGTGAGGTTCCGTAAAACCAGAACAGTGAAGGACTGGCGCCCGAGTGACGTACGGAGTATCTCCTTATACACATCATGTTGGACTTAACTTCCCCTCACGCCTGTGACATAAATCACCGCGCCACTTAATGAGAAAGAAACCAACGATGTTAGCAGCAAGAGCGTACAACCGGAAAATTGAAACATTAAGATGCAGGGAAAGACCAAGAGGAAATGGATTGAAGGAGTCACTGAAACGTTGAGACAGCATAACATCACGGTATATAAAGTGACTGAGCGCGCCCTGGCTCGGCTGCCGATTGTCTAATAAACTGCGACGTCTAACGACATAAACAGATATTGACAAAAGAAGAAGTATCAAAGAATTGTTTGTCTCTATGTTTTATCTCTTTCCTCATTACTTACAGCGGCCGGCCATGTATCAAAACGGAACTGCATGCAACCAGTATCAAGCCAGATTGGAATCAAACATTTATTCTGGAAGGGCTGTCTTTAACTGAGGTACCCACTGCAGGATAAGTTGTTTAAGTATTTGAATATGAATTGTAAGGTGAAGTAAAGTTATGTTAGAGATAGCATATAATAAAAAAATATGTTTTAGATATGGACAGAGCGCTTATGGGAGTGTCAAAAGTGCTGTAGTGTCGATTCTTAATTCAACATTTAACGTTTATTATATAAAGAAGAATTTAATGGGTATACATGAGTATCATGTAACGGGTCCTTTCCAGAACGTCGCTCTCATCACAGTCTGCCTAAAAGAAACTCAGTCTCTCGCAAGCTCTCCCGCCTCTTGCACTTTCATATCCATGGAGTCACCTTATATCCTGTGCCCTCTTCGTATTGGCCTGCCCCTGCCCTTCTTTTTTGTTACCAAACCTTCTCCTATTATTTTATTTTATTTTTTTTCATTCCACTAAGGCGCTTGATATGACAACAATATTTCAGCATCTGCGACAAGATGCTGTTTATTAGTCAATCTTCCCTGATGGTCAGATATTTCAAAATGTGAGTATTTCTTCTCTTCTTTGTTCGTTGTATCCTGAGAATCCTTCTCTAGCATTTCAGCTCAAAAGCCCCTTTTTCGTTTCGTAAGGACTGAGAGATAGTCCACGTCTCACATCACTGTATTGCTACACGGAAGATGAATCATTTCCGTGCTGGTGCTTAACCACATACTTTTAATGCTGTTTAAACTTTGCACACGAGTAGTGTCCTAAAATATGCAGACAGCTCAAACGTTTTAGACTTACCTTAGTACATTTTAATAAGGGCACCACTTGTAGTTCTGTGTCGGCTCTGTGGCTAAGTCGATGTGAACGCTTCGTAGTGTTGGGATGCCCGGTTCGATCCCAGCTGCAGGCCATGTGCCTTGCGTTGGTTTCAACAGTGGTATCAAGAAGGCCAACCGTCCAGAAAGCAATGACAAACTAGTGGACGTAAATTTGCCTAGAGAAACCACACAACAGCCAGGGGCTGTTGGGGTTGGTTCTGCAACGTCCTGTAAAGGATATGCAACTAAACTTTAAAAAACTTGTAGTTCTGCTGATGTCGGTATTTCATCTCCTGCTACGTTTTCTGAATCTCGCCCAGAGTTACGGTTGAGGTTATTGCAACGACCCTCTCTCTAAGACGCTGGACGTTCCTTGTTTTCTCAGCGTCGTTCTAAGACTCAAGAACACACAAAGTTACGTAAAAATGTAGACTTTTCTGAATATTTTAAGACACCACACTGGTATGTCCATTAGGGTATATACAAAAACAAACAGACGTAACACAAATGGTGACAACAACGCTCCTGAAATCCCATGATATAATGGTGGACGACTTTCTTAACCTGGGCGAGTCTTGCTAGTCACACTCGCCATCGCCATGAGCTGGGAGTCCCAAGCCTTCTCACTCATAGCACAATATTACACTATCGTCTGGGAAGACGGAACAGTGCCACTCATATCTAATAGAATACTTCTAAAGATTCTAATAACAATTTAAAATCGCATCAATCATTCTTGATGACACACTGTGTTATCCTGCAGATGGTGAACCAATGTTTGCAGCTTACTGTCTGGAGCAACGAGCCAAGTTACGACAGATTCATTGGGGAAGTTTTGCTTGATCTTACAGAGGCCCAGTTGGACAGTCAGGTCGGTGATATTCTTAGTGCTATAAAAAAAATATTGGGGGGGGGGGGCGGAGAGGGGGTGGGGGGCCTTGTGAGCTGGATAGCAGATGTCCTGCATTTACGTATGGTAGCCCTTCGCCTGAGTACATGATCCTCAGAATCATGCTATATCACCCCGGGACTACCCCAGGGTTCTGCAATTTCCCCATTGCTCTTCATTGTGTATACAAGCAAGATTGCAGAACTTGAAGCACAAGGTGTTGGAAGGACATTGACATTTGCTGATAGCACAAGAGCTACAGGCAGCTGTAGACAAAGTGACTGACTGGTGTGCAGAATTGGGTGCTGTCATCAACTAAGAAAATGCGGCTGTTTTATGGTGCTCTCTAGACAATGGAATTGTAAGAGCCAATGTTCCAAGCCTCACAATTAAAAACAGTAACAACAAAAGAGAAAGCAAACTAAGGTACCTGGATATTATTTTCGATAGAAGTCTGTCCTTCAGGGATCATGGGAAGGCAGTTGCGGTAAAATGACAAAAAGGACTCAATGCTCTCAAGATTATAGCAGCAATGGACATGGAACAAAGAATGATGATCACAATGTTCCAGCATGTGATCCTGTCGGTGATAGATTATGGACTTGGAATGCTTACCATATCAAAGAGTCAGCTGATGAAACTTGAACGCATACAGATGTACCCCGGTAGTGTGTATGCGATATATGCTTGCACTGCCTACTATTGCAGATAGGCTGAATGTTCTGTGCAAGCAAAGTCATGGAGTAGCTGCAGACAGGAAGCACCTCCTGAATGAAGCCCTGGGTAGAGCTAAGGGTCACATACTGAAAAGACTGAAAGCATTCTTTGTTTCACGTCTATTGCTGCCATAATCTTGTGGACATTAAGTCCTTTTTTGGCATTTTAGACAATGATGAGAATAAACTGGACAAATTAAAAGGAGTATGTTTTGAAAGAAAAATTGATTGCCTACATCAGAAACAGACAATCTACATTCTTTAGTCATGTGATGAGTGTGAGAAACGGAGTACATCGTGTCATTAGGAAAGTGGAGGGGAGGAGGGGCAGAGGGAGACCGGGAGAAAAAAAGCTGGACAGTCTGACATCATGTCATAGAAGATCATCTGTGTCAAAGTTGATTCAAAGTACACGAGACAGAAGGTTGTGGGTAGACATGACTACCAACGCTACACGGCATGGACTTTAAGAAGAAGAAGAAGCTTTTATCTCTTCTGGACGCGTTGATCATAGACAGGTCGTGCTGTTTCAGAGCTTCTCTGAAGTTATCTTTCCATCTTGTTCTTGGTCTACTTCGTGCTCTTCGTCCGTCTCCTCTTTTGGTTTATGCCCTGTACTTTCTGGCGTCACAAGGCGTTCTGTCTAAGTGAGCATACCATTTGATTTGCTGTCTTTGTATGTAATAAAAAAACTGGTTCTCTGTTCACTTTTTCTCTTATGACGGCAATTCTGATTTTTCTCTATTTTCTTCACTCCTAAGGCCCGTCTCATAAATAACATTACTTACTGAAAATAACTGTACATTGCAGCCACACTGGTATAATCTAGAAGAGCACGACGAGAATAGCTCTCCGTTACCCTATCACAGAGACCAGTATGTAGCAGTCAAATCTACCAGCTGGGATAATGGTACGCTGAAGGACGCCTCTATCACTAGTCCGGCAGTATCGCCCGAAGTGCCTTCTCGTCGACATTCGCCAACATCGACAGGTGAGATTTGTGAGGATTGTCAGGGTTTTCCTGCGTGAGCGGATGGTTGGGTAGACAGACAGGCAGGCAGGCAGGTAGGTAGGTAGGTAGGAACTTGGAGGGGTGGGTAGGTAGACAGACAGACAAACAGGTTGCCAGGCAGGCAGGTAGGGAGGTAGGAACTTGGAGGGGTGGAAAGGTAGACATACAGACAGACAAACAGGCAGCGAGGCAGGCAGGTAGGTAGGTAGGTAGGAACTTGGAGGGGTAGACAGACAGACAGACAGACAGACAGACAGACAGACAGACAGACAGACAGACAGATGGATAGACAGACAGACAGACAGATGGATAGACAGACAGACAGATAGACTGATAGATAGATTAGATAGATTAGATTAGATTAGATTAGATAGATGCATGAGTCTATGCATGGATGAGTATGGACATGGTCTGTGGATAAGGGAGGTAGGGGTGGGGGGTGGGTATGGTTTGTACAATGTGCAGAATGTGTTTGTTATACAGATAAACTACGATGAAAACAAATATGTATATACAGATGAATAAGTCAGTCATTTATAAAAGTGAATCGTGACAGGCGAAGTTGTAGCTTTCTGTACGAAAGATGAGAAGACAATTTAAATTCTTTGGTTTTGTCATATGAAGGAGAAAACGGGTACATTGTGAATGTTGGAGATGAGGGGGGAGAGGCAGGGAAAGAGCGAGATAGAAGATGCTGGACAGTTTGACATGATAGCATGGAAGATTGTGTCAGAACTGATTGAAAGTACATGAGACAGAAGGTTGTGGATATCACACGGCATGAAGTAAAAAAAAAAAAGTGAGTTGTGTCCCTTTTCAAAAAGTTGCAGAACCAACCCCAGAAATTTACAGATTTGGTTTGTTGCATATCCTTTACAGGACGTTGCAGAACCAACCCCAACAGCCCTGGCTTTTGTGTGGTTTTTCTAGGCAAATTTACGTCCAGTAGTTTGCCATTGCTTTATGGAGGTCGGTTCCCTGATACCACTGTCGAAACCAACGCAAGGCGTATAGCACGCAGCTAGGATCGAACCGGGCACCTCGGCATTACGAAGCGTTCGCATCGACTTAGACACAGAGCCGACATTGACAGATACATCTGTCAAAACCAACACAAGGAGCAAGGCCCGCAGCTTGTATCGAACCCGGCACCCCGGCATTACAAAGCGCGTGCGCAACGCCTAAGCCACAATCGCTGACAAAAGAAGAATAAATTGACTGAAATCTAATAGAAGTAGCCATATAGCAGTATGGATAGTCGCCGCGGTGTAGCGGCTACACGCTTAACTGCGGATACGAAGCTCTTGGGTTCAGGTCATGCAGGATCCGCACAGTTTTAAAAATTACATTGGTTCTCAAACTGACCCAGCCTTAAATAGGTACCCTGTATATTACGTTAGCACAGTCAGCGTCTGTGCCCACTCGGTATCCCTATGTGTTTTCTGTCCTCCGATGCAGCTATCAGTCCAAGTTACCTCTACTGACTGTTCCCATGAGGAGTTGGTTATAGTATACCCCATCTTTACCTCAAAGACGCCATAGACGTGCTTCACCAAGCTCAACTCCTCTGTCACGCATTCGTGTTAGCGTCAGAAATTCGCCATTATTCCTTCTTCCCCAAACCTAGTCCGTGCAGCGTTGATGATATCAGCTCTGTCCATGCTTCTTTCCTTTTGCATGTGTGCATTACTTGCCAGCTGGTCAGTTTTTTTTATTACTTTTTACTCCTGCGTGCCCAGGTGTGTAGATCCAAATGCTTGAGGTTAACTACGACTTTCGAATGCTTTTTAACTATGTATAGTCATGGGAAGTAAAAGCAGTCGGTGTGATGTTGACCGCATCTTCCATGAGTGAAGACTGGTCTATAAAACACAAGTCTAGCCCTATATGCCCAATACGCCTGAAGACGTGGACAAGTGTCATTTACAATTGTTGTCTACTGTGGTGTCATGCCTACTGTGGTGTCATGCCTACTGTGGTGTCATGCCTACTGTGGTGTCATGCCTACTGTGGTGTCATGCCTGCTGTGGTGTCATGCCTGCTGTGGTGTCATGCCTACTGTGGTGTCATGTCTACTGTGGTGTCATGTCTACTGTGGTGTCATGCCTACTGTGGTGTCATGCCTACTGTGGTGTCATGCCTACTGTGGTGTCATGTCTACTGTGGTGTCATGTCTACTGTGGTGTCATGCCTACTGTGGTGTCATGCCTACTGTGGTGTCATGCCTACTGTGGTGTCATGCCTACTGTGGTGTCATGCCTACTGTGGTGTCATGTCTACTGTGGTGTCATGTCTACTGTGGTGTCATGTCTACTGTGGTGTGTCATGCATACTGTGGTGTCATGCCTACTGTGGTGTCATGCCTACTGTGGTGTCATGCCTACTGTGGTGTCATGCCTACTGTGGTGTCATGTCTACTGTGGTGTCATGCCTACTGTGGTGTCATGTCTACTGTGGTGTCATGCCTACTGTGGTGTCATGCCTGCTGTGGTATCATGCCTACTGTGGTGTCATGCCTACTGTGGTGTCATGCCTACTGTGGTGTCATGTCTACTGTGGTGTCATGCCTGCTGTGGTGTCATGCCTACTGTGGTGTCATGCCTACTGTGGTGTCATGCCTACTGTGGTGTCATGCCTGCTGTGGTGTCATGCCTACTGTGGTGTCATGCCTACTGTGGTGTCATGCCTGCTGTGGTGTCATGTCTACTGTGGTGTCATGCCTACTGTGGTGTCATGCCTACTGTGGTGTCATGTCTACTGTGGTGTCATGTCTACTGTGGTGTCATGCCTACTGTGGTGTCATGTCTACTGTGGTGTCATGCCTACTGTGGTGTCATGTTTACTGTGGTGTCATGTCTACTGTGGTCTCATGTCTACTGTGGTGTCATGTCTACTGTGGTGTCATGTCTACTGTGGTGTCATGCCTACTGTGGTGTCATGCCTACTGTGGTGTCATGCCTACTGTGGTGTCATGCCTACTGTGGTGTCATGTCTACTGTGGTGTCATGCCTACTGTGGTGTCATGCCTACTGTGGTGTCATGTCTACTGTGGTGTCATGCCTACTGTGGTGTCATGTCTACTGTGGTGTCATGTCTACTGTGGTGTCATGTCTACTGTGGTGTCATGTCTACTGTGGTGTCATGTCTACTGTGGTGTCATGTCTACTGTGGTGTCATGTCTACTGTGGTGTCATGCCTACTGTGGTGTCATGTCTACTGTGGTGTCATGCCTACTGTGGTGTCATGCCTACTGTGGTGTCATGCCTCTGTGGTGTCATGTTTGTGTGTCATGCTTACTGTGGTGTCATGCCTACTTTGGTGTCATGACTGCTGGGGTGTCATGCTTGCTTTGGTGTCATGCCTACTGTGGTGTCATGCCTACTGTGGTGTCATGTCTACTGTGGTGTCATGTCTACTGTGGTGTCATGTCTACTGTGGTGTCATGTCTACTGTGGTGTCATGTCTACTGTGGTGTCATGTCTACTGTGGTGTCATGTCTACTGTGGTGCCATGCCTACTGTGGTGTCATGCCTACTGTGGTGTCATGCCTACTGTGGTGTCATGCCTACTGTGGTGTCATGCCTACTGTGGTGTCATGCCTACTGTGGTGTCATGCCTACTGTGGTGTCATGCCTACTGTGGTGTCATGCCTACTGTGGTGTCATGCCTACTGTGGTGTCATGCCTACTGTGGTGTCATGCCTACTGTGGTGTCATGTCTACTGTGGTGTCATGTCTACTGTGGTGTCATGTCTACTGTGGTGTCATGTCTACTGTGGTGTCATGTCTACTGTGGTGTCATGTCTACTGTGGTGTCATGCCTACTGTGGTGTCATGCCTACTGTGGTGTCATGCCTACTGTGGTGTCATGCTTACTGTGGTGTCATGTCTACTGTTGTGTCATGCTTACTGTGGTGTCATGCCTACTTTGGTGTCATGACTGCTGGGGTGTCATGCCTGCTTTGGTGTCATGCCTACTGTGGTGTCATGCCTGCTGTGGTGTCATGCCTGCTGTGGTGTCATGCCTGCTTTGGTGTCATGCCTACTGTGGTGTCATGCCTACTGTGGTGTCATGCCTACTGTGGTGTCATGCCTACTGTGGTGTCATGCCTGCTGTGGTGTCATGCCTACTGTGGTGTCATGCCTGCTGTGGTGTCATGCCTACTGTGGTGTCATGTCTACTGTAGTATCATGCCTACTGTGGTGTCATGCCTACTGTGGTGTCATGCCTGCTGTGGTGTCATGCTACTGTGGTGTCATGCCTACTGTGGTGTCATGCCTACTGTGGTGTCATGCCTACTGTGGTGTCATGCCTACTGTGGTGTCATGCCTACTGTGGTGTCATGCCTGCTGTGGTGTCATGCCTGCTGTGGTGTCATGCCTACTGTGGTGTCATGCCTACTGTGGTGTCATGCCTACTGTGGTGTCATGAATACTGTTGTGTCAATCTATTATGAGATAAAAGACTACGCGACAAGGTGATTATTTTTATTTCTCATCGTCTTTCCATCCAGTAGTGTAGCGGCTAGACGACTCGTCTGCTTTTCGCAAGGTCTTAGGTTCGAATCCACAATGAATCGGATTTTTAAAATGACCTTAGCTCCAAGTTTGCCAAATTGAACTTCGTACCATTACAGTTTTAGATAATCGGTTTCAAGCGAACTAAAGAAGAAGAAGGTATCAGGTAAACGTCTGGTAAGTAAATGCGTCAGCGTGATGTTGACCACATATTGGTATGTAAAATATGGGTGTAGCATCATATGCCTGACATCTCTTGCATGAAAATGATCCTTGACTTGGAAATGTTCTTGGAAGTAAAGCAATTAGGCGAGTTTACTAGATCATCAAATATACACAGATTGGCCTCCGAAACTATTGAACTATCTCTGCATGTCCAAGACGTGAAGTCGCGGGGAAATGGCGGAATTGGTTTTACTTACTTACTTGCTGACATTGATTAATGTTTTGTATTTTGGGTTTGTAGGATCTTCTAATGTTTCCCCTGTGCCTTTTGGGACCTCAGTTGATGGGTCTAGAGAGCTCCAAAGATTCAACTTGCAGTATATTTAGCCTTGGAAGAATGGATAAAGTGCCAAGACACAGAAAGCAAATGCTGTCTCATCTCAACTATCTCCTCTGCTTAAACTCTCTCTATCCATGAAGACTCTCTCAATCTCTCCATCTTCATTCTCACTCTGCTCTCTCTTGGAATGTGAAATAGATAAATGAGGAAGAGCTTTGAGACAGACGAGTTATTTCCACGATCAATCTTGTGTATATCTTGGACTGCCAGACTTACAAAATGGAAGAATGGGACAGAGGAGATAGAAAAGAATGCTTGCACTACATAACACATCAAAGAATTCTTCTGTTTGGACATCTAACCGGATGAAAAATCGTATTTAAAATCAAAAAAAAAAAGCTACACATAAGGCAAGTAAGACCAAGGAAACGGTGGATTGACGGGGTCTCCGAAACCTGCCAAAAGCATGACCTCAGAACATCAGATGCTGCCATCCTTGCTTATGACAGAACTTCCATCTCCCCACAACGCTTAGCGGCATACGTGTAAAAGTAGTTTTGTGTTTACGTGTGCAACAATACACACGGCGCGTCCGATCTAACTACACAGAGACCAGGGGAAATTACAAGAAGTCCACGCGAGAAAATCCCAACCTTCACCGAGGTTTGATACCCGGGACCTCCAGCACTCGAGGCAGATGCCATACTTCGAGACCACTCAGCCACTAAACAGTCCCTAAATACTCAGCAATCATTGGGGACAATTTTAGGTTAAGGAGGAAGCTCCTTTTCTGTATAGCACAAAGCCTGATCAGGATAATTAAAAGTAAAGGACCTAATTTTATACGAAAACGTCGCTGGAACTATGTCGGCCACGCCTTTAGAATGGATAAATCAAGACGTCCTTACCAAGCCCTGATTTGGACACCACAGGGGAAAAGATCTCGTGGAAAACCAAGGGAAACCCTACGTAGAACTATCATCAGGGAAGGCTCACTCATGGGCCACTCAAACATCCAAGACCTACAACAGATTGCAACGAACCGCCATGCACGGAGAGTCATGACTTCTGCCCTATGTGCCGCACTCGACACAAGAGGAAAGACTAACCTTTTTCCACGCCTTCCGTTGTACTGGGCATATAGGGCTAGACCTATATTTTATTTATCAATCAGCCCTATATTTTATTCACCGATCAGCAATTAATGCGTGATGTGGTCAGTATGATGCCCGCCGCCTTTAATTTCCAGGACTCCACTTGGTACCCACTGAAGGACTGGTCATGTTTGAAAAAAAAATGTCTGACACCGCATGGACCTGAACTCACGACCTTCAGATGCGCATGCTAGCGTCTAACCGCTACACCACGGCGACTACCCGGATCAGAGCACTTTATTTTTAATCAACGCCAAACAAAGAAAATCCCAAAGTTTCCGGGATAGTCCAATACTGTAGAGGTATTATGGTTTGGAGTCTGGGTACTGATCAATATTGTCGACACGATGTGTTGTTCATCCATCATGATCCCTCTCTCGGCCTGTCGTGTTTACTCTAAAGAAAACTCACACTGATAGGTTTGCAACAGAACACGCTGTATAAGCTTCCGGATCAGAAGAGCAGTGCTCTGTCTGTCCGCATGTCAGAGCTTGCCTCTTAGATCAGCTGTCAGTCAAAAACAAACAAAAAAGGTTTTCGTGTTCCATTTCCTCTTCCTAGTAGAAGGTTAGTATCCCAATCAATGCGTTTTACACCCGAAACCCATCGGCGACCGGGATGCTCTCTGGCTGGCCAGTAAACGACCTCGTCGTCTGTGGGGACAGTATTGGGGTCTGTCTCCTTCGATTGCATCAACACTGAGTATTTTTCAAGGGCTCTTTTAATATGGCGCACATAACCTAAGTCACATTTGTAACCAAAGCTTTCCCTCTGGGGATGCTGAGAATAAATTCAACTGAAATGCGAATAGTTTCTTCAATACATTGTCACTGTTTCATGGCCACCGGAAGCTCACCGTAGTCACGTGACTACCAGGGTAACTTCAAATGTACAATTTATTGCCAGGCATATTTTTTTCATTAAAGACAGGCGAACTGGACAACCGACACCATTGGTGAAATGTTGGATGTCAAGTTTGGTATACGCCATCCAACATTCGGCGTTAACAGAAGAAAGGTGGTACCAGCTACTGATATACGGTAGCTGAATCATATCCGACCAAGACTTGACAAGTCTTTATTTCTCCTTACTACTACAGAAGGCTGAACAACGAATGGGTAGCTTATTGGTTATTGAGTTAGTTAGTCGACAGATTATCTTCACTTGCGCCTCGAGCCACTCAGTTCATAAGTACTCGGATGCCCTTCTTGGTAAATCCCGCAGCGTGTAGCGGCTCTCGGCGCTAGTTCTGTGTTGCTTTCTTATTCTTCTTTGGCTTCCTGAAAGTACTCTTGTCTGACCACGCCACTTCTGGAAGCCGCGTTAGCGCAGCCGATAGGAGGCTCGCTTTCAAATCCAGCTGCGACTCGCTGCAGCCTAAGGTCGGTGTTCGAAACCGGGTGGTTCCCGGGGTTCACCCAGCCTCTAGGAAATGGGCACCGGAGTGACACTATGGGGTAAATGGAGGAACGTCGCTGTAGCTACAGAGTTACGTGCGAACGGCGACACAGACGGACAGTTTCTTATCAGCTGTCGGTACTGGTAGCAGAGCACTTATGGTTTATAACCGTGTGCAATAACGCTGGTTCACATCTCCTGACTTTACCTTTTACTTCTAACATGTTATGCTTGCAGTCTGGTCGTTTTTGCAGATTCACAGTCATCCCTTGGTTCTCGTAAACGCCATACTTCTCGTAGAGCATTCAGAATACCAGTATGGTCCATTGCTCGTCCGCCCTCCACAGTAATTTTACCTGCAAGCCGATCAGCTTGCTCGTTTCAGTGCATGCCTGCGTGCCATGGCACATATATCATCATACATATGTCATCCCTGACAGCTTTAGAGATTCCAGTCATTGTCTTCGGATCCAGCCCCTTCTCTGTCTTCCTGAGCCTACTCATTGAGTCACTGAGAAAGCATGACCAGGTAGCCTATGATTTAACCTGCAAGAGAAATGGAGATACAAATACGATACTATGGGTTAATGCTACTTAAATATTGACAAATTATTTTGGTGTTTTTCTTCCTTGTTCTCTGTAATTTTACAGTAACACAGAAAGTAATCATGCTTTATGTAAATCGTTTTATCTCTACAGTATTACAACCTGACAGTTTTACCGCAAAAATGAAAAAGAAAATGAGGAAAACTGTTTCCAAGATGTCGCCGTTATCATTCACTGAGAAAAGAGACTTCACAGGTAGTGCTGACTTCATTTAGTTTATTCACTTGTATCATTATTGTCTCATGCGTGTACCTCAATCGTAACTGTCTTGTACTTTTTGGCCTGACTGGTCAGTGACGACGGCAAAGATCACTGGTAGAAGAGATAGAGGCAGACCAAGAGAGATGATGATGGATGACTTGAGACAGTGGCATGGAGGAACATCATCAGTAAAGTTGATCCACAACGCCAAAGACCGAAATCTGTGGCGACTAATGAACGCCTACGCCAGCTGGCGAGGCACTTGATGATGATCCAGGGTTCACTTTCATACGACAGGACTGCAAAAATCTAAAAACTGATATGAATATGTAAATGAATATATCCATGAAATTAACTATGTACTTTTATAGCAGTTACATACTGATTGTTACCTACTATTTTCCAAATCGGTGTTTGACTACCTGACATGTACCCACAGGATCAGATGAGAGCATCAGCAGTGAGAATGTCAGAAGGTTGTCCAGCAAGAGTGACAAAAGTGTCACAGATGCTGACAGCATCCGACGGCTGTCGAGTAAGAGTGACAGAAGTTTCTCAGAGTCAAGAGGTTCAAGTCTGCAGATCCCCAACTTTAGTGAGTGACCTATTTTTAATCTGTGTGTTCAAAATATGAATGTTAATTATCGGCAATTGTTTCTGTATCTTCTTTTTAGTTAGTTAGTTAGTTAGTTAGTAGTTAGTTAGTTTGTTAGTTAGTTAGTCAGTCAGTTAGTTAGTTAGTTTGTTTGTTTGTTTGTCAGTCAGTCAGTCAGTTAGCTAATTAGTAAGTTAGACAGTCAGTCAGTCAGTCAGTCAGTCATTCAGTCAGTCAGTCAGTCAGTCAGTCAGTCAGTCAGTCAGTCAGTCAGTCAGTCAGTCAGTTAGTTAGTTAGTTAGTTAGTTAGTTAGTTAGTTAGTTGATCAGTTGGTTCCCATAGTTACTCAACGTCAAGGCAACGGGTCACTCCATGTCGCTCTTTGTGTACCAGCAAAAACCACTTATAAAAGCTTTTCCCTGTCTTGTGTGAGACATGCAACAGATAGCTCGTACATGCATTAAATGCACGAGGTAGCCGCTACATGTACTAACACCGACAGTCCGCCACAGCAACTGCAATTCTTCGTTGACGGTTACGGCAACCACTACAAACCATTCGTGGTGTTTTGCCCAGCCTCTGCCGAGTGGAGGTGCAGTTAGGATTTGCCCTTCACTGAGTTATAGGACTATAATGACATTTTCCCCAAACTCTGTGGTACTTTAGATCATCGGGAATCATATTGTGTTTGCATACTGTCTTACTAGGTCAGAGTCATGACCTGTTAGCACCGCCAAAACCTCCAAGTCGCACCAGCAGTTGTTCCAGCATCTTCTTTTCTGACGACGAGGACTTACTTGGACAAATCAGGTAACTTCATCTTCTGTTTCGCAGCCCATTTAGTTCCACGATAGTCCCCCCAGAGAACTAGGTCACGTTCCATTCATAAGTTTTCTGGACTGGCCTGCTTTCCGGAAAAAAAGGGGGGGGGGGTTATGGGTGTGCCGCTCTGTTTGCTTTCTGGCTTCTCTTGCAGTTACGTTTTTATTCCGATAAATAGAATACCTGTGACATAGGTTGCAGCACTATCTTGGGGGAGGGAGGGGGGAGGGGGAGTTGTATGTTAGACCTAGTTTCTGAATGTTTTTGTAGTGTTAAAAGCTCTTGCGTGCTTAAATATACAACACGCGACATCAACGGCATTGCCGAACACCCATGTAGCATTGTGCAAAAGTCGGGTGACTCAAAGTCGACCAATCAGAAGTGAGCTAGTGTGTATATAGGCGGTTTCGGGGGGGGAGGAGGAGGGGGGGGGGGGTATAGTGGAACAAACCCACAACCCTTGCATTTGTACAATGGTGTCCGCCTAGAATGCTAGAGGTTCAGGGTTTAATTCCCGGTAAGGGTTGGGATTTTTTCGCGTGGACTTGGATTTTGTAATTCCCCCTGGTTTCTGGGTAGTGAGATCGGACGCCCGTGTGTTTTGTTGCGTACGTAAAAAAATGTCTTGTCAGTTGGAAATCAAAAAGAGTAGCCTAACGGAGCTGCCCGGGCAAAATTTGGAGTTAAAAATCTACCCAAAGTATTTTAGGATCCTCGCCGGTGCATCAGAGCCTCTGCATTGTGATTAGCTACTTCGGACTCGAGTTGAGAAGAAGAATTGTAGCACTTATATGTTACTACCCCTGTGCTATGATGTTGATCCGTTGTTCAAAAGCCTCAAAAAACCTTATTTGTACACACACTCGGGCGTCACTTTGAAAGGGAATAAAGAGCGCCCTTCCTCCCCCGCCCCTCAACTATAGTGCTGGATTTATGTACAACTAAATAAGTACAGCTGAGAGCCTCACAAACTTCAGGGGCTTATATATTCACACAAACACACAAACACGCACACATTTTTCAACGTGCCATGTTACGCATGAAAGCAATGGCAAACTACTGAATGTAAAATGTTCCAGGAGAAACCGCAACAGCCAAAAAATTCATGGGTTGGTTCTGCAATTCCTCGTAAAGGAAACTCAATTAAGTAATTGTTAAGCAGCATATGTTTTGACGACATACTTAATGATACTGCATTTGGGAAATCAAGGGAAACAATTATCTAAATTGTAACTTAGAGCATTTTAGATAATTATATTATTTATGTGATTTTTGTGAACACATTCTTTGTTATTTCTTTTTAAAATAATTAAAATAATTAATAGACTATGTCTTCCAAAACTGACCCACGTAAAACAAACATATCAAGGCAAAGCTTTTTGCCAAGAGAAACGCCGGTGCAAGCCAAACTGTACGGGTAGATGATTAAATTGCAAAAGACAATGAAGTTCATACTAGAGACAACATTGCAGATATAGATAATATATTTCAAGCGAACGAAAGAAGAAGAAGAAGAAGAAATTAAACGACAATATATTTCCAGTAAACGTAGCAACTCTTATCGTGGCAGATGAAAGCCGTATACTTGTAAGAACAAATAGCGAGTCAGTTTTTTTCTTTTTTGTGTGTGTGGACATTTGTACATTTTATGAGTAGAAATAAACTTCAGGATGTTGTAACAACTGGCAAGATCGATGGAATAAGAGCAAGAGGAAGGCAAAGATATAAAAAAACCAGAATGGCTTGGTCACATTGATGATGCGAGACAAAAACACTGACTTGATCAGTGATTCTGACGATCTTGTGAGATGATAAAATGACAGCCTACTTTTATGATGATGATTTCTATTATCCAAATGCTTAACAGTTTCTTGAGATCAGCTGGTGTAATTAAAAACGGTAAGGGCTTCAAAACTTTTTTATGCTTAGGGCCTCATCAAGTCTAAATCTCCCCCCCCCCCCCCCCCATAACTATAAAACTATGGAGGACAACAGGGACCCACATAAAAACTATAAGGGGGAATTGCTAACTACTACAACGGTATCATTTAATTTTTTTTTTTGGAAACTTAATTTAATTGCCCGGTTTTGCCAGGGATAGTGAAGAGAAGTCTTATTATCCCATCCTCTACCTTATCTTAATCTCCATCGCTGCCTTATTTGTAGGCCTAGTGGAAATAGGGATCTAACTAAAACCTTATTTTTATTATCTGGTCATCTACTTCATCTTTGTCTCCATCACTGCCTTATCTTTAGTCAGTGTCCCTAAGTGCACCCGAGGCATCCTCTATAATACTAACAACAGTATTTAAGGCACTGTCGCAGACACGTATAGACATGTGGTTTCAAGGAAAATAACAGCGAAATATACTTTTTTACAAATTATCTTTTAAAGTAAAGGGAAAAAGAAAAAATTCCAAAGGGATATAACTTCAGCGAAAATTTACTGTTACTTATTGTTGTAATAAATAAAGGAAATGCATATAAAGCTGGCCGGCAATGTGACTGATAAATTAAAGGTTGTAGCCAAAATGTTAAATGAAATATAACCCCTGTATTGGTCCCGTTTGAGATGCATCAACACTTCATTTATAATAAACACAAGAAATACAAAAGGATTTGTGATTTATTGTATAGATAAATAACATCACCCGTTGCTCCGCTGTGACTGTTACCCTAATTATAACCCAATTTATGGGTCGAAATGGGTTTTTGTGACCTCTTCACCGCATGGGGGCACTTTGTGTCACCAGTGTTTATCGCTCGGTGTGATGACATAGTGGGGTAGAAAAAGCAAGTCACTTTAAGTGGGGGAAAAAGTAGTTACATTTTTTGCCAAAAAAAATGAAACCAAGTATTTTATATAGTAAAAATCTTGCATCGTCTACCAAGTTGTAAGCTATTTAAGAAACCTTTATTTTTTGTATTTGGTAGGGAGGGGGGGGGGTTGGGGGAAGCATACTATTGTAATACTAGTCATCACTTTGTGTGATGCAATTTTTAATTATTTTAAGCCACACCCTGTCTAGAGGCGGCTACATAGGCCGGCCATAAATTAGGCTAATTGGCTGAACGTGGTTTTTGGGACCTCTCCACGGTGATCCTCATCCACGTGGTGGCACTTTGTGTCATCGGGTGTTTATCGCTTGTGTGATGTCCAAGTGGGGCATAATGTGCTACTACTGTAAGCATACTAAGTTTACGAAGCTCAGAAACGGGCACTTTCTTGAAAAGTATACGTCATCTCGTCACATCACGGTACCAGAGGATCAATATGAGATGAGGTTTTTTTTCCAGTACCATCATTATTTTTTACAATATTCATTTTAACTTACAAAGTAGCCCGGCTCTCTAGCGTAGTTGGCTAAACCGGATTGCGCGGTAACCCGGTGACTAACTCCTTGTAATCCGGGTTCACTTCCGGGGGTAGGCAGAAAAGCCACATTTCTACCAGATTTACGGTATTTACAATTGAATCAAGGTCGAAAGGTTCCGATATCCATAATACCGAGCCAAAGGGTTAACCACTCATGGCTGCTGGATACTAAAACAAACAAACAAACAAACTTACAAAGTAAATCAAATGGCTTTAAATCAAATGTCTTTAAATCAAATGTCTTCTTCAGTTTGCCACTGCAGACATCAGACAGGCTTGGCCCAGAAGGCGATGACATTACATCCATTTTAGGACCTGGGCAGATAACTCCCAAACCATCGGCAGGTGAGAATATTTGATTGTTATGTCCCGTCCTTTTACCGCTCTATAACAGCGATTCTCAACCTATAGGCCGGGACCCTTTTTTTGAGTCGAAGGACTCTTCCACAGAGATCACCAGAGGCCATGGTAAAGTATGTATTCATTGACTTTATGAAGTAGTAACAAAATAATTGTATGTTTGGCGGGTCGCCACAACACAAAGAAGTGCATGATTTGGGCCGGTTTTTATTTGCGTAGGCAAAAATAAAATCCTAACCTGCTCTAGGCCAAAATTCTCAGTCAACACTGTAAAGAAGGTACATGCATTTTTTGACAGTTTGTAAAAATGTGTTTGCAGACATAACAGGAGTTGGACTTTGTTGTGAATCAAACACGTCAAATAGGTGGAATATCAGCAGCGTTTATGAAATCTCGTACATTGTAACGCAGTTCTTAAAGCTAGTGTTGCTCGAGACACTTACCATTGCAATGAGTTCTGATTACCACGCTATTTTTCCCTATTAGGGGTATCCATGACGATGAGGTCAAGCGATTTTCCTCGCGCTCTGAAGGTCATGAGTGCAATTTTTTTACCGAGATCCCTAAGGATCGTCGACGGAACTACGGAGTTCGTGCTCTGAGTTCGTGTCGGCAGGCAGCTAGCCGTTCTGCGGAGAGAGACCGACCGAGCTAGATGGGATAAAACCTGGTGCAATTCAATCCTCTGGACTTTAACTTTTTTTTTTTACATGTTTTTCACCGATGTCAATTCCCGTGTCAGTTTTTGTCCCCAAGAGGGACGGTAATGATACTCTGTGTCAAATTCGGTGGCACATGAATGGAACAACTACTGAGTGACTCGTCTGTTCTGAGTTGGAATTTGCGTTTATATGATTACTTGATCTCACTCCCATGCAAACCCCTTTTCCCATAATAGCACAGTTTAAAACTCAGTGTAATACATGGACACTGTCTTCAGAAGACAGAAGAAAAATAGTATCGTACTATGCTAGGTGTGACGAGGGAAGATTGACTTAGGAACGATGATAGCAGGAGGAGAATCGACACAGAACCAAAACTGAAGTTAATAGGTGGACAACAACAAATCAAATATTTTGGCCATATAACAAGATGGGCATCAGACAGGGCACCACAGAAAGCAGTGTTATACAGATACAGCGGAAACAGAGCCAGACCTCGGCGACGCAGAATATGAAGCACAGAAATATCAGAGACAGTGAAAAGTACAAACAGAAGGGCCCATTCCAGAGATTTTTTTCTTCTCTGAGACAGGAAGATATTACAGGCGTAAAGAAGAAGAAGAACACTATCGTCTGGTTTTATATGGGGGGGGGGGGGGCGCTAATGAGTATTGTTTGTGCTTTCATGATTATTATTTTTTTTAATGTCCCCTTACATACGGGTGGCGGATCGGGTATATGAGGCTAGACCACCCTTGATGGGCGATGTTGTCAACATCACGCCTGTCGTCTTTACTTCCCAGGACTTTACCTGGTTCCCATTTAAAGCTCTAATTATTTTAAATAACCATTATTAACACACATTATTACCGTCCAAAACGCTAATAGGACAACAGACCAAGCAAGATAATGTATCAAATTTTATCAGAAAGCGCCACTGGAATTACAACGGTCATGCACTCAGAATGGATATGACAAGACTTTCCCATCAAGCCATTATATGGACATCGGAAGGGAAAAGGAAACGGGAAAGACGAAGAGAGACTCTGCAAAGAAACATCATCAGGGAAGGCTTTACAGTGAACCTAATGAACATCCAAGACCTAAAACAGGTGGTAACGAACCGCCAGACAATGAGAGCTTCGAACTCTTCCCTCTGTACCGCTTTAGGCTCAAGCGAAAAGACTACCTAACTATTAACATCGTGACCTTTCTACTCCCAGTCTCTATCAGTTATACGGCCCGACTCGCTAGCGTAGTTTGCTAGACCGGACTGCGCGGTGACCGGGTGACGAACTCCTTGTGGTCCTGGTTCACTCCCGGGGGTAGGCAGAAAAGCCATATTTCTCCCAGATTTACGGTATTTATCATGGAATCAAGGCCAAAGGGTTGCGATATCCATAATACCGAGCCTAAGGGTTAACAGCTCATGGCTTCTGGATACTTTAAAAAAAAAAATCACTTATACGAATTTAACTAACTCTTGTTACAGAGACGAAAGTCTGTGGGAACATCAAACTCGGGTTCATGATCTCCAAAGGACATCTACAAGTGGACATCATCTGTGCTGCCGGTCTTCACTGGGACAGTCTGACTCAGCCTCCAGGTACTGACCCACCCCAGTTCCGTAGAAAGGAGAATTTGAGAATTTGTTAAATATAACCATTAGTCTTATCCTTAATTCTTTTATTAACAGTTTAAGATAAGATTTGGTCACACTGTTCGAAAATCCCCCCCCCCCCCCAATTTTAAATAAAGAAACGTAAGTAACTGACCTTTTATTCACGTCGATGGCCAATCAGGCATATCGGGCTAGACGTTTTTGATAGACCCATCAAAACTACGTTGTTGTTGTTGTTATCGATCCAGCGGCGCATGAGCTTTCGCCCTTTGGCCCAATGCCTTGTAGTGGAATTTGCATGTTTTCACAAGCTGTTTTTTTCCTCTGTACAAGGTGTTCCACTTGTCTGGTCTCGGAGGGAGTAGCGTTCTTCTTGCCTCACTGAGTTTTGGGCACTCAAAGAGATGGTGTTCAACAGTTTCGTAGGGGTAGTTACATAGCTGGCACTCTGGGGAGTGTTGTGGCTGTATTCTGTTTAGGTGTCCATTGAGTGGAGTATGTTGCGTTCTAAGTCTGAAGATGGTGGCCTGGTCCCTTCTTGTTAGATGGTTAATGCTGTCATTAGGATCAGGGCCAGACATATGTCTATAAACCTCTCTTCCAGTGTCTCCCATGGCCCATCTGTTCAACCAAGTCTCTTTGTTTATAGCTCTTATCAGTGTTTTTGCTGTCTGGAGGGTTGTCGCTATAGGTGGTTGTTCTTGTGTTGCTCCTTTCTTTGCCAGTCTGTCAGCTCTGTCATTACCTGGTGTGCCGGAGTGACCTGGAATCCACTGCATCACTATTCTGATGTTGTATGAGGTAATAAGCTGATCGGCATCCAGGATTATCTTGGCTATGTCAGTTCTGCAGCGTTCATTGCCCTCCAGAGCTTGAAGGGCAGACATTGAATCTGTGAAGATGACAATATTTTGGACCTTTGAGGGGTAAACATCCATTACAGTCTTTAGGTGGTATACTGCTGTTTCCAGTGCAATTATTTCAGCTTCATAGTTTGAACAGAATTCCCCGCATGCATCAAAAATCTCTTCAACAGATCCATCGGGATAAAACTACGTGAGGGATGAGACATTGCGGTGCAGCCCTTTAATGCCCAGGAAATTTTCCTCACACGTTATTAGACTATATCCTTACGTCGTTTTTAGGACGTAATTTATTGTTATTTGAAGCCCCACCCTGGCTTTTGCCAGGGGCCGCAATAAAGGCAGGCCATAAATATGGCCAATTGTCTGAACGCGGTTTCTGGACCTCTCCACGGTGATCCTCATCCACATGGTGGCACTTTGTGTCATCAGGTGTTTATCGCTTGTGTGATGTCCTGGTGGGGTAGAAAGTCAGTCAGTCCTCACACGTTTCAGAAATGGGTGTACCCGGGAGTCCAGGTCATGTTTTCCCCAATGCACTCCGATTAGACCCAAAATCTCTGGACAGGCAAAATGTCGCTTTGCTGCCAGGCTTCCACGGCTGCCTCACATCGTCTAACCAATAATACATTTTAATTCGTTGTGTATCCTTTACAGGACGTTGCAGAACCAGCCCCAGCACTTTCTGGCTGTTGTGGCTTTTCTATGCAAATTTACGTCCAGTAGTTTGCCATTGCTATCTGGACGGTCGGCTCTCGGTACCCCGACATTACGAAGCGCGTTCGCAACGCCTAAATACTGACGCCGACAATAATACATTAACTCATCATATTTCAAAGATAAACTCAAAAGTTTTCACTCGCCTTTCTTTCCTAACCTTTTTTTTCTTTTTAAAACCACTACCATAAATCTGCCAATTACTGCCAGTTTTAACCACTTTTGGTATGATCTTGACCAAATTACTCATCGAGTGCCGCTTGGTTTGTAAAATATAGGTCTAGCCCTATATGCCCAATACACCTGAAGATGTGGAAAAGGGTCGTTTACTTTCTTTATTTTTAAACGTTTTTACCACTTTTGCTGTGTAAGCAGAACCATTCTTGTTTGACAACAAGTGTATTGCTGCCTGTTGTGGGCGATCATACCTCTTCACAATGATCTTCAACAACATGTTTCAGTTCGTGTGTTGACACCTCTCTATGCCAAAAGGGTTGTCAAGGATTGTCTTTCTCTGTCTATTTTTCTAGAGATCTTTTCATTGGTCACAACACATTTTCCAGTTTCTTTTTTCCCCATAAGGTGACTAAACGAAATGATGTCTTTCTCTTTCTTATGTCTGTGATAAGTTGCCTCAGAGCCATGGTCTCTTTCGAAACATCTGGGCTTCTCTTTTTGACTATCCAGGGAATTCTAAGGATTCTTATGTAACGCCACAAAATAGGATTATAAAAAAATGTTTTAATAACTAAGATAAATAGTTTCTTTCGTAAAACTGTTTAATCACTAAATTACCAATATCAGCCGGGTTAAACATTGAGTTGAATAGTTTTTAATCTTTTATTCCCTCAACATTATATCATTCATTTAAAAAAAAGTTCGAACCTTTATATAATCCATTGAGTTTAAAACGGCTCACCGAAAGTTTTTCGGTGTTAACTGATATGATATACTTTTTCCAACTCCTTGTAACCTACTGCTTTGTTACTCTTACCTACACCATCACATGTATTTCTTTAACTCTATTAGTGTAACTCTCCACACCCAAACATTGGGATACGTCAAGTACTCACTTCGTAGAAAGGGCCCTTTTCCAAGCATTCAGAGCACTGGGCATATATTGTACAGACCAATCGGCACTCGGTGGAAGATGTCAACACCACAGCGGTCGTCTTTACTTCCCAGGACTTTATCTGGAACCCATTTATGGCTAGGTCAATATGGAAGCCGATGTTTTTTTTTGAGAGAGAAAAACGTTCTGCTGCTTTCCGATTTGAACCCATGACCTTCAAATCCCCAGGTGAGCGTATATACGCTACACCACGGCGGCTTCCGCTTTTTAGAAAGAACTGGTTAAAATCGCTTGGTACTGGAAAGATTCAGCAAAAATTTCGAAAGCGAGAAGCCTGAGTATTAAACTGACATGTTGGATATTTCAGATACTTACGTGAAAACCTACCTCATGGAAGGAAAGAGGGTGTTGCAGAGGAAGAAGACGACGGTCATCAAGGCGACCTTAGATCCTGTCTACCGCAAGAGGATCAAATATTCTGCCAGCAATGTTCATGGCAGATTAATGAAGGTAATAATGATACGAAGTTTAGATCTGAGAAGTTCGACTTTGTTTCACTTCTTTGTCTCGTACCTTTTAACGGTTTGCCCACTTAGAGAGAATGCCTTGTGACACCATACCATACAAAGCATACATGGAAAGAGAAGAAGGACGTAGAGAACGAGGTAGACCAAGAACAAGATGGAAGGATAACATCAGAGAAACTCTACAACAGCACGATGTGCCTATGGTCGAGGCCGCCAGAAGAGCTAGAAACAGAACCTTATATCTCCCTCAACACCCACAGCGGTAAGAGAAAGTGAAGAAGAAGAAGAAGAAGAAGAAGAAGAAGAAGAAGAAGAAGAAGAAGAAGAAGAAGAAGAAGAAGAAGAAGAAGAAGAAGAAGAAGAAGAAGAAGAAGAAGAAGCAGAAGAAGAAGAAGAAGAAAAAGTCTCGTACCTTTTCAGTTCCTCCAGATACTTGGTCAAAGCGATTCATTATTTTACGCCTTAGAACATAATACAATCGACTTCGGAGCCCCATGTCATCATACACAACATTTTTAAGAATGGCAAATCAGTCTTGTGCACATGTGGACTGGCACCTAAGACAACAGATCATGTCCTCCAAGACTGTCCCAAATACAACATATCAGGGCAAAACTTTTGGCCAAGAGAAACATCAGTGCAAGTCAAACTTTACGGGTCGTTGAGTGATTTACAACAGATATAGATAATATTTCAAGCGAATGAAAGAAGAAGAAGAAGAAGAAGAAGAAGAAGAAGAAGAGAAGAAGAAGAAGAAGAAGAAGAAGAAGAAGAAGAAGAAGAAGAAGAAGAAGAAGAAGAAGAAGAAGAAGAAGAGGGTTTTAACCAACAGAGCTAGTGGGCTGGGCGTGGACTACAAGTAATTTTCCCTGGTGGGACGCCAGTGTGTATTCTTGCGCACGTAAAAATCCCTTGCAGTTGGAAATCGAAAAGCGTAGTCTAACGGCGCTGCGCGGGCAAAATTTAGAGTTTAAAAAATCTACCCAAAAGTATTTCAGGATCCTCGCAGGTGCAACGGAGTTCGTACACTGTGCTGAGATTCTTCATACTCAGGCTTGAGTTAGAAGTAGAACAGAGCACTTATGGGTTACACCCATGTGTCATGATGTTGATCCCTTGAATAAGCTGATAAACCGTGTGGTACGGAAGTTTAAAGACCACAAAACAAATCTATGGATCTCATGATTGTTATTTTTACATTTTCAGACAAATCGACGGATCTTATAATTGTTATTTATTACATTTTCAGATTGACATCTGGAAGCGCACCAGTAATTTTGACAAGAAGGCGTGTCTCGGAGAAGTTCTAGTGAGACTCGATGGTCTGGATTTGTCCAAGTCAACGGTCGCCTGGTACAAGTTGTTCCAGATGAACAGCACAGAGTACGGGTCTGAAGAATTTCTTAACGTTTGGTGACAAATCTGGATGGATGCACTGAAAGAATCACTGACACCTTTATACTTCTAGAGGATTACCATCAGTTGATTTCCAACTTCATTGCAAAAAAGGTCATCCGATAATGGCTCCATTCTTCTGCGAGTGAAAACCACACAAACTGCTCCGTGTGAAAAGTAAACAGATAGCAGTAAAGGCAAAATTAAACAGCTCGCACAAACATTAGATGCTAATAAGGTAACCACGACTAACACGCTGGCATACCAGCCTGCGGGAATGTTTTTGGATTGCATTGTTTGGTTCCTCTTCGGTCCTTACGTAAGACAAAACTTAAATCGTGAGGCCAGTAGCCTTGATCAAAGCTACTGTGCCGCTTATATCTCGTGTGCCTCTTCGCGCCTTTAACTACAGCTTTATCTTGATTGAGGTTGAAACTGGCCAAATAGCTTAGAACAGGGGTTCTCAACCTTCCTAACGTCGCGACCCTTTAATACAGTTCTTCATGTTGTAGCAAACCCCCCCCCCCCCTCTCTTTCTTCCCCTCCTCCCTCAAATATACAGTAATTTTTGTTGTTACTTCATAATTCCAATGAAAATGAGTTTTCCGATGGTCTTAGGCGAAAAATGGGTCATTACCCACAGGTTGAGAACGGCTGGCTTAGAAGCATACGTATACAGTACTGGAGCACATGTTCCAAATTTGCAGGTGTAAAACTGAAGAGACACACTTCCGTGTTGTTCGGTTCAGTAATGTTATTACTTCAGATTTCTGTGTGGTATTTTTACTAAAACTACAACATCGGCGACCGAGTCGCCCACTGGCTGACAGGGAGATGACAACGTCTTAGGTTGGAACAATATTTGGGTCTGTCTTCTTTGATCGCATTAACACTGCAGGAGTCCTTTTCATGGCTCTTGGGTGCAAGCAATGCTACGCCATTTTATATGTTGCACATAACCTAATCACAATTATAACCTTTCTGGGATGCTGGTTGAGCGTGACGATTTTTCTTCCAGCAAAGCCATCTGCAAAAACTACAAAGTTTCTGCGTTGTGGGATCTCTTACAATAAATTCTTTCCTCTGGGCTTTAAAAATTGTGTCTGCTCTGTTTCAAAACTAAATGTATTTACCAAGACAATCCACAATTAATTACTTCCATAAATCATCGTTAAAGTATGTCAACTAAGTTGTGGTTGAGAAGAGATTGGCTTCTTTTTTTTCTTCGTGTTTACCGGTTGATTACTCTAGGTGTTTTTTTTTTCTCTTCAAGGCTTGACCCAGAACCTGAGTCTGGTATGCACATTTGATTTATGGATGTGGCTATTTGTATGCAGACTGTTCATTCCTAACCTTTCAGGGCAGATACACTCTGACTTTGAAGAAAACATCCCTAATTAGTTGACTCTGACGACATGCTTGTTAGGGTTGCAGTGTGTCTGCACCCACAATCCATTATAGGGCCCCACAACCTACATGAAGAAGAGAATGCTTGAGAGCTACTAGTTGTTTATTTATTCTCATGATGTGACCAAACAGTTGAGTTGAGTCAAGAATTGACATCACAGCCCTCAAGGCATTCCCATGCATGCTTTGTCCTCATCTTCAGCAGCCAGTGCAGTTCCAATACTAATGGCACCGATCACAATCTGGTTATATGTCCGTCTTGCCTTTCCTCTGAGTGTAGTGAGCCGGCCAGACCCTCTTGTTACACCCAGGTGCCTCATTATCTCCAGACCATAATAATCTTGTTCCTCTACTGATTCCGTTGCTTGTTCCCAAAGGGCCTTGACCACATCTGCCTTGTCATGTATTGTGACCAAACAGAGAATCAACAAATAGGAACTGAAATAGGAAATAAATAGGTTGAGGAAATGTGGGCGTCCAAGAGAAACCATAAGGTGAACGTTTTTGCGAGAAGCCGAAGGTGGTGAACTAGATCCCATCCATGATATGAAAGTGGTTGCATAGGACAGAACTTCCTCTTTTGCCTTTTCTGGAATGGTATGAGGAGGGAGAGCTGGCAAGAGACAGAGTTTGTTCCAGGCAGACCGTGATGAGAGCGACGTTCTGCAAATGACCTGCCACATGATGATGGTATGGCAGGAGAGATTAGGTTCCACTTCGTGCTCTTCTGGCCACCTCAGCTACAGACACATCAGGCTGTTGTAGAGTTTCTCTGATGTTATCTTTCCATCTTGTTTTTGGTCTACCTTGTGCTCCACGTTCTTCTCCTCTATTGTTGTATGCCTTCTATGGTAGGACAATATGACAACGAATGAATGAATGAATTGAATGCTGGGTTAATCACATAAAAAGTATTTAGGAATTATGAGGCATAGGAAAAAATTCACCTAGTGATGTCTGTGTGTGGATTAGGCAACAGTTACATAATAAAAGACATCAGGGAGTGTGTTCAGCTGATACTCTTCATATGGAGACAGTATTCACACATTCTCAACAAGTAAAGGAAATGACAAGCAGAGATACAACCAAACTTTTCAGCCAGAATCTTCATATATCGACAGACCAGCACAATCATAAACAACCAAACTTTTCATGCCAGAAAAATGGGGTTATTAATATATTAAGGACGGGCTGACCAGCACAATCATAAACACAGGTTCTCGTGCGAGAACTGGTTAGACAGACTTCTTAAAAAAACATTTTCCAGGTTTAAAAAATAATAACCTTTCTCTGGAAATTAGACAGACAGAACTATTAAGGAGCGGCTGGCCGAGTGATTACAATGACAGGTTCTCGTGCGAGAACTGGTTAGACAGACTTCTTAAAAAAGACATTTTCCAGAGTTTAAACAAATAATAACCTTTCTCTGGAAATTAGACAGACAGAACTATTAAGGAGCGGCTGGCCGAGTGATTACAATGACAGGTTCTCGTGCGAGAACTGGTTCGACCGCCCGGTAAGGTTATATCATTTTTCTGCATGCAGGCAAAGATTAAACACCCTAACTTGCACAGTCCATGGTGACAACACAAGCCGTGCGGCCCTCAATCATCAGGCTCCTTCCCCCCCTCCCCCACTTCTCTACACCACCTTAAAAAGTGGTAAATACAGTCAGAAGTTGAGATTTTTTTTTTTGGTTTTTAAAGAACTATTATACAACTATCCAGCTAAGATAACATGTATAAATGAGGGGAAATATTTTGTTTGTATAATCTGGTACACTGTAGTTTTTATGATACAGTATGCAGCAAGTTTGGTTGTGGTTTGGTTGTTAATTGATATTGTTAACTGTGTCAGTATTAAACTTGCATTTGCTAAGATAGCAGACGTTTTTGTGTGCAGGTGTTCAAAAATTTGGGTGAGCAGAGAAGTGGGTCAAAGTGTCCGAGCAAGAATCAGATTTGTGTATGGTTCTAAATCACTTCAGGTGGTGAGTGCAGGGATTGGCCAGCTGGTGCTGCAGAATCAGTTCAACAAATGAGCCATGTCAGTACCCACCCAAGTAATGTGATTGTCTATTCAGATGGCTCTGCGTTGAGAGGGGGACAAATTGCATAGGGGTTCACAGCAAAGGCTAAAAGGTATCGCTTATTGCAGCAAAGCCTGGCATATGATATCACAATGTCTAGTTCGAGAATGGAGGTGGAGGCAGTCACTATTGCCTTCTGCTGTTTTAATGGCTTGACAATCAGCTGAACACACATGCCGTAATTGTAAATGACTCCCAGAGCATGTTGAGAAAGGTGGAGACAGGCATGCTCCTACAGAGTGTCAAACATCGCTTCAAAGGTCCTGGATAGTAAGCATCCTTTGGCTATTTTTTCAAGGTAATGACAGAGTGTTGGGAAACGAGCAGACATACAGATTTGCTGATTCTGCACAACCTGGTGGTGAATTGATGTATGACAAGCTAGATGTTGTGAGTGCCCTTTGGGAGAAGGTAAACCGTACCGAGGCACAAATAGATCATTACAGTCTAAGAAGAACAGCGCTGCGAGAAGTTACCAGAGGATCTGGCCGAGGCTAAACACTCAAGGAAAGGGCAAGACGGATATATAAGCAGACAGTTACTGGTGCCATCAGAATTGGAACTTTTTTCTCTGCTGCTGAAGATGGGGATGGCATGCTTATGTGAGTGTCCCAAGTGCTATGGTGTTGATTCTTAATTTAACATTCAACATTTTTATTTTTGTATACCTATACATGTAGAAGACAATGATAAGCCAACAAAAGATTTCACTGTTGACCAGAGGTGTTCACACAAGGGAAACATTTGGCAAGAATGAGGTTCACACAAGGGAAACATTTGGCAAGAATGAGGTTCACACAAGAGAAACATTTGGCAAGAATGAGGTTCACACAAGGGAAACATTTGGCAAGAATGAGGTTCACACAAGGGAAACATTTGGCAGGAATGAGGTTCACACAAGGAAAACATTTGGCAAGAATGAGGTTCACACAAGGGAAACATTTGGCAGGAATGAGGTTCACACAAGGAAAACATTTGGCAAGAATGAGGTTCACACAAGGGAAACATTTGGCAAGAATGAGGTTCACACAAGGGAAACATTTGGCAGGAATGAGGTTCACACAAGGGAAACATTTGGCAAGAATAAGGTTCACACAAGGGAAACATTTGGCAGAAATGAGGTTCACACAAGGGAAATATTTGGCAAGAATGAGGTTCACACAAGGGAAACATTTGGCAAGAATGAGTTTCACACAAGGGAAACATTTGGCAAGAATGAGGTTCACACAAGGGAAACATTTGGCAAGAATGAGGTTCACACAAGGGAAACATTTGGCAGAAATGAGGTTCACACAAGGGAAACATTTGGCAAGAATGAGGTTCACACAAGGGAAACATTTGGCAGAAATGAGGTTCACACAAGGGAAACATTTGGCAGAAATGAGGTTCACACAAGGGAAACATTTGGCAAGAATGAGGTTCACACAAGGGAAACATTTGGCAGAAATGAGGTTCACACAAGGGAAACATTTGGCAAGAATGAGGTTCACACAAGGGAAACATTTGACAGTAATGAGGTTCACACA